AGTATAGCAGTCTATACTAGCCTAGGACTTGGTGCGATCAGGGTTAACGGCTTAACCCAAGGAACTTATTTGGTAACTAAGCTTTCAAAATCCAATAGAGATAATCAATACAGAATATTTCTTTTCTTTTCAGATATTTCCATTTTCTGAAGGCTTTTTCTGGTCTGTGCCCACTGCTGTCTGTTCTACTTTGTTCTTCACTTTCCTCCTATTCATGCTCTTAATACCACCCAACAGACTTCTAGGCTGCCTCTGTTCTTTTAATCCAAACTCCAGCTACAAGCAGCTGTTCTGTAGGCAGACTTTTTTTTATTAACTTTGTTAGGAACTATGCCGTATCATATTACCCTCTTCTGTTCAGCCTGTGCAGCTGTAGTCATTGCTTTCCACAGAAATCTTTGCAGAAAGCCATAACCTCTCTTTTCTCAGTAGATTTGTGTGTGTGTGTGTGTCCTTTGCTGCCCTTAGGTTATCTTTGCATTGTGAATAAGATTTTTTCTAGCAAGTGTTTTTGTTAGTTTTAACCAGTTCCACTGGCCAAGTTCAACTTGATCTGAGTCTTTGCACAGTACCAGTGCTTTTTCTACCAGGAATTTCCTTTCATTTAGGTTCTCAAAAAATTAATCTCAGAGCAGTCTACCAGTTTTGGAAGGACTGATTACCATTGCAACCTGACAAGAATAAGGCAGCAAGGCCAAGACCTGTGAAAGTAACTTCTATTGAGGTGTGTAGCTTCCTGTCAACTTCAGTAGGAGTTCAGGCACGTATATAAGTTTTAGGAGCTTAAAATCCCGTGTAGATCTGGCTTCAGGCACTTTTCATTGAAATTTAGCCATTATGCGAACAATGGTAGATGAACCTGAAAATACCTCATTCCTCTTCCAGTCCAGCAACTGAATTCATCAGCATTTCATGGCTAGTGTCTCTGCCAGCTCCCTGACTGTTTTTCAGAAGCTGAATTAGAAGCTATTAAATGGAAAATTAGGTAGGGTACATTGCACCAAATGATTCAGACTTAGAAAAACTCCCTACTCCCAGAGTTAGTGGAATCATAGCAAATGCAACAAAATACAATAGGGAAAGACTGTCAGATATGTGATGAGACTTAAGGAATCCTATGTAGGATTCTTGAGAAATTTAAATATGGGATTAGCGCAAGAATGCCAGCTAGCTAATCAGGGCACAGTCCTCAACAATTAGCTTCTTACAACACCATAAGCACAGCCTTTTTCATGCCTTATCTTTCAGTGCATCTCCCTGAAAATCAGGATTAATAGTAAAGTTCCCATTAGGAGCATGTCTAAGCAGCAGTGTATAAGAGCAGATACGTAAGTCTTTATGTATCTTATAGTTCCAATGTAATTTGAAATAGTAGCTGACAGACACAATTTTTGGCTTCGATAATTTTTACTGTGAACAGTGATCATTTCATCATAGTTAAGTCATGTTTAGAAAATTTAAACAAGCTGCTTGATTACTCTAGGAAGCATGGAATGGTTTGCTCAAATCAGTACCATCTGTGGACAGAAAAAGTTGGGGGAATTTTAGTCATTCTTGAGGAATGGAAATCTGATTCTCCATGCTAGAGTAATTGTAATCCTCTTTGTATCTGTAACCCAATAGCATAGCTGTCTTGAAATTGTCTGTGAACACAGTCATCAAGTGCAAGAGATACTGTGCCACTGGGTGTCACTCCTCTTCACTGTGGCCCTAGGTTCAAACTTCTTTGATGTGCTCCAGATTCAGATCACATCTTTTCATTTGTCCTAATGAGTGATTATATTTATATTTGATATGTCCATGTAAGCAAGGAGATAAAATGATCTTGATTTTAAACGGAATAATGTTTAAGGCTCTGGTTTCATTTTAAAGGTCTGTCTAGGCACTGGCAGAGAAAATTTTACTGTGAATTTTGCTGGCTGACCCTTTATTTTGTGGGCTCAAAATATTTTGTTTGTATGCGTCTTAGTAAACTGGAAAAATGACAACATTAAATAGCTACAAAAGCTTTTGTCTGAAAAAAGAAATGGTTGTCTAATCTGTCTGTTATGATGATACCTGCAAGTTTATCTTTAAAAACGATAGTTTTCATGTAGTTTTACTTGCAGATCATCGCAGACATCACCTTCAGCCTTGTGAAGGTAATGTGTATGAACTCCCTTTGTAGTCAATGGGAAAAAGTACAGATAGAAAGAGAAATAATTTCTTAGCCTTCCATTCTTTCCCCCACTCTCAGTGAGTTTGTCTCTTCTCCAAATACAAGGAAAGCTCATGGAGGTTGGATTTATTAGACTTGTTCTGCAGGAGAGCCCACAAATCAGACCCACTCTCATTTAGTCTGATATAATTTCTAGTTCTATGAAAGCCAAGCATCTTTTCCCTCTAAATTGCTAACTCTCAGTTCTTTCTGAAGTCTTCTGTGTTGAAACTAGGAGAACAAAGTACTGTCTTTAAGAAGGAAAGCCCACCATACTGTCCAGAACACGGGCACTGCTCATTTTATACCTGTGACTAGCCTCTTTAACCTGCCTTGTTTTAGGTGCAGAGACTGCAGTTGTGCCAGCCATGGCTTTACCAACTGCACGTTTGAGCAAGTGAAGGTATATATTTCCATATGAACTTCCTATTAACAGTCAGCAAGCAACCAGTTACTATCTACTTCATTACAAGCCCCTGTTTCAGTATTGGAATGTAGCCCACTAATCAGTTTTCAGCAGATAGAAGTGAGTAATGGGAGACTGAGAGGCATTAAAGCCAATTGTTTCCATCTCCATGTTGCATACTTTCACACTTTTATTCCAAACTCACCAGTGATGGCTGCTCCTATCACAACAAGAGTTCCTGGAGTCGTGTCTGGGAAGGTGAAGTCATATTTCTTATCAAAAAAAGAGTAGTAATCCCCTCTGAGTGAGAAAGAGAATTTAATTTTCTTAAATTCTTTTTATTTTTACCTGTTCTGATATCTTTGGAATTTCTGAATTGATTTTTAATTCCTGGAATACATCATATTGGGCCTTAAAATACTTTAACTCAACTTCAGAGTGAGACTGGGTGATAATTTTTTTTTCACTCAAATAGTTTTATCCATTCTATCCCACATTTTATCATTGTCATAATTGAGTGTGTAAGATTCATATTTTTTGCAGTATCTTAGCAGATATTAATAGCTTATATTACAATAGAGTAAGGATTTTTAGAGGAAAGATACAGCTGTATTCTGGTAGCAATTTAGGATTTCTCTGCCTTTATTTTCCACTAATTAATGGTCAAATTAAGCCCTTTCTTGTAATTTAGACAAACAGCTATTACAGCTTATAGAGTTTTTATGAAAATATTGCAGTGTTTGTTTTTTTTTTTGAAAGTGGATAAGCGGGGTATTACATCTCCAAATATGTGCACATGTAAAAATGATACTGCATGTTTTGGGTTTTTTTACAACTTTCTGTACTTATCTTTATGTTAATAACAGCAGAGCAAAACAACTTTAATTTTGATAGCATGGGCTATGATGATGGAAGTTGTCTTTGGTAAAGACTTTTTCTTAGTCAGTTTGTTCTTGTTCTGTGTCTGGCTAGTGTGTAGCAGGTTGGGAGCATATGAGGCTGTTGCATGCTGTGATGTTGTGTACTTATGTGTGACAGCTCAGTGGAAGGACAGGGGAAGGGCTCACGGTTCTTTGTCTGGTCCCTCTCCTGCAGACTCCACCTGCTTTGGGCTCATTTCAAGGGATTTTAATTTCTCAACCTTTTCACCATGGTTTAACTCATAATTTACACTTCTTGTTAAATATTCAGATTTAGTGAAGAAGTTTCAGCTTGTTATATTCTGATGATTTCAACAAACAAATTGTTGCAGAAAAAAAGCAGAGATCAGATATTCCCACAAGGCTGAAAAAAAAAGAAAAAGGAAGGTTTTCTCTTTCTTCCCCAGTAATGTTGGTCTGGGATTCTTTTCTTCTTTATGTAAGCCTTGGGACTTCTTCAGTTTCAGTTAGAGGGTGTATCATGTGTTTTTCTTTGACCAGTGATACCTCTTCCCCCAAAGACTTAAAGCACTCTTTAAAGCTAAGTGCACAAAATGATTTCTGAGCTGATTGGCCAGTACAGTTTTTGCCACAGAGAGTATTGGTATTATCTTACAGAGTCTTAGAGATAATATTAGCTTACTGTATGATTATGTGATATAGCACAAAACCATATGTTGCATCTAGTCTATGAGAGCTGGGAGTACACTGTTGGCTCAATATAGATAGAGTAAATGTGTACACATGTGTATGTATGTACATAACATGCAGTGCTTCTGTCTCCATGGACATGAATATAACCTGTATACTCATATATACCTATGTGTATAAATAAAGGATGTATGGAAGCAGCATTTATGGGAAATTTCTTCTGGTTTTGCTCCTTATTGTGATGTATTCAGCTCTTTCTGTCAGTGTTCTTTTAATTAGTTATTTGCTGAACAACTTGTAAAGCACTTATATAATGCTAGGAAAACATATTGTGTGTATTGATACTTTCCATTCAGAAGGTGAAACAGGAGATTTATGTAATCTCGAGGTATTACATGAGGATTTCATATGTTACCGAGAGAGAGACAAATGAATATTTCTAAGTGAGAAGTGAAGAAGCCCAGTTAGCAACTGCACTAAAAGATGCTATGGGTAGGCCAAAAATAACTTTGCTTGATATTCCCTCCCTTAGTTGAGACATAGCCCCAAATGTAGCAACAGGAATGTCACACCTCTCAAAGCTGCCCCTGCATGCCACACCTGAAAGTATTATTTTTTATTTCAAAAACTATTGTAAATGTATGACACCTATACATGTACAGTGTGATCTATGTCAGTGGAATTGTTTCTTGTTAACCATAGGAAGTTGAATCTTCGTCTTTATGTATGCTTATAAAAATGGTTTTTTTAACACTGGATAAAAGGATTATAGTTGCAATCACTTTTCATTCAAATTAAGATGTCTTACAACTGTTTTAATCTGCAGTTCCTAGTGCTCCCAGGGATATTGTTTTTTCCAATGTGCAATCAACAAGTGTGACTTTGAATTGGAGAACACCAAAATCTATCCTTGGCTACTTTCAAAACTACAAGATTACCACACAGCTACAGTCCGTCCACTGCAGTGACTGGGAAACTAAGGAATGTGTTGAATATGAGATGCATCAATATTTATATGAAAATGTGATGGACGACTGGATAGAAGACACAGTGTATGGACTGAAAAAATACAGATGGTACAGATTTGCAGTTGCTGCCAGTACGAGTGTTGGTTATGGCAGTTCTTCACCTTGGATTTCAACACAAACACTTCCTGGCTGTAAGTAAGGATATCTCCCATGTCTCATAATGCTGTAACAATGTGATATTCACCTAAATAAGCAAGAACACTGGGTAGCAAGTTATTTCTTCATAGACCTACAATATTGGTGAAGTTAATAAGGATTTATTTCAACTCTTCAACTATGAAACATCATGATATAAATCATGTGGTAGGTATACATACTTAACACTTCTCGATATTTTAATGCCTTTTGTATGCTCTATTTTATTTACTGCTTACCTAGCACCAATTTTAATCCTTAGCAATACTCCACGTCTAGACTTGGTAAGTCTAAATTTTGGCTAATTTGGGTTGATATGCCATTTTCAATACATCTTCACATGTGGGGCGTGTCAATGAAAAGTACTCCTTTTTTAATTCTTTGACTAAAAGTCTGTTAATCAACATTGTAACACTTTCCTGAAGTTCTGATGTATGTTCCTGGCAATAGAATTTAAGCAATAGTTTCAGAGGAATTAGAGATTTCTTTCCAAGACCATATACACCTATGGAGTTTACAAATCAGAGTAGCCACGTAACTTGTAGAGGATTGCCATGACACATATTAGAACTCTCATGCCTCAGCTGAGGACTGAAGATTCCAAGTAAGAGAAGAGTTGTCACGGATAAGTTATCATTAAATATTTGAGAGAAGGGGATGTGAAACATGTATTATTTAGGCAGTTGTCATGGGGACAAATGACCTTCCCTACCAGTTTGCAGCCATCATAGTTCAGAGAATATCTGAGATCCAGCCTCTGACTGAATCACAGCTCCTTCACTTATTTCCCCGCACAAAGTAATAATAATGGAGATACCAAGGACTTTAACAGCTGTGTACCAGGGATTACTCAAGGGTCCACATATTTATTTTGTTCTACTCATGTTTTTAAAATCATTTGATGTGAATGCAGGAGGCTTTTATGTAATGCTCCTTTTAGTATCTGTGCACTCACTGAACAATAGTACATCCACCTATCTTTAAATACCTCACATTTCTCTACTAGGAAAGCAGATATTGTCACCTTCATTTGCAGATGAGAAATTGAAATAGAGAAATTCTAAGCCCCAAAGGGCAAAGAGATTTGGACACCATGATAGTAAACATCATAACAGCCTGTTTTTCATGTAAAGCACAGAAGCAGTCCTTTGGATTGAGTACTGGAATCAGCTGCAGAGTCATTCTCATGTGTATGTGCTTCCTTTGTCCATGACTCTTATGGGGATGCTCTGCCTGTAAATTAATGCAATATTTTAATTGAGGGAGAAGAAAAAAACTCCAAATAAACCCAGATGGAGCAAGAAATAACTAACAGAAGTTGTGCAACTCTTCAGCCAGAAGGTCTAGGGAGATGCCTTACTGTTAAATTGATAGAATTTAGTTGCTGACATACGCAAATAATTATTTTCAAAAAATTATTACTGAGTTTAGAAAAGTTGGGGATTAAAGCTGGACAGAAAAGCAATAATTAAAACACATATAAATGCATAAAATTAGGATCTTCTTTATTATTTACTCTCTAGACAGTGATAATTTGCTTTAAGAAAGAACTAGTTTCCTGTCAGTCCCACTGAGAAGACGGTAGTTAAAATTATAAAAATCTCATTAGACTGCACAGGCCCTTTCCATGCCAATACAGTGTCATTCTCTGCAGTAGCTCCTCTGTGTGCTCTATTAGACAGTTTAAAGTGGTGGGGTAGAAGTTAAAAAGTTCCATCTGTTCTTCCAGCCCAAGTGTTTGGGGCTGTGTCTGTGACGAGGGAAGTAGGCAGCAACAAATTTCCTGTGAGCTAAACAGGTGACACATCAGGAGATAAGCTGCCTATAAAACACACCTCTGTGGAGTCAAGGAAGCATGGGCACTATTTCAGATATTGTGGCTGGGTGCTGGTCTTTTTCCTGGGATAATGGCAATCAGCTGAGGAGTTAAAAAAGAGGAAGCTGACATGTCACAGCTGGGTAGCCAGCTGGAAACTTCATTGTGCTTCAGTGGTGCTGGAGCCTCCCTGAGCAGTGGCTGATCTTTAGCAAGGACAGTTCTCCAGCTACTTCATACATGGCAAAGACTAGACTTTAGAAATACTGTTAAACAGGCTAAAGAAAACCTTAGTTCCGTCTTTCTTTTGCAAAACCTGTAGCAGGAAAGAAAAATTTAGAATGAACCAAACAGACTCGGTACTCTGGGCAGCCTTGCAGAATGTGTCCAGCGAACAGGTGTTGATCCCCCTCTCCTTTCCCTCGTGGACAGGGCCAAGCATCCTCTGGATTAGCCTGCTGATACACAGCCAATATACATGGTCTGTTAGGGCTTAAGGGTGCTTAGCTGCTATGTAAAATACCCTGAGTACTTAGCCTGTAAAATCAATGGGAGTTGTGTTTGCAGGTTTGAGGGCAGAAGTTAGCCACTGTTTTACTTGATTTTCAAGAAATGCCTCTGTAAAGCATTGGTTCTCCTGAAGGTAGTTACCTTGATTGTGAAATAATTGTCAAATGCTTTTCTTCATAATTCATTGAGTTCTCATAAATTTGTGTTTCTCTCAAACCTAAAGAAAATATTATAGGTATTATATTCATATTCAGCATTTAAGATGAAAACTGTTAAACTAATTTCCCAGAACATAAAGAAAAGAAACTTCAACAGCAGCAAAAATTACATAACAGAAATCCTGAGTATTTTTTGCAAGTGCTGAGGATTTGACTGTTGTGCTAGAGCAGAAATACCTATTTAGAATAATAATTCTGAATATCCAGTGACTAAGGTGAGGATCTTTGCTTGTTTGTTTCAGTTTTTCATTATGAAGGCAAGTGTAAGGCTACAGGAATTATTTTTAAGATTCTTTAACCCATTTGCAAGTTTCAAGCAAAAAATAATGGCAGTGTTCTGTACTGAGAGTGGTTATAAAGTTACTCCATGGAAAATGTTATAAGCTGTTCAGTACAGTCTGGTTCTCACATCACACAGATAACCTATTCAGCCTTCTGTCTTACAGATTATCCTCCCAGGGATTGTCCTATTGTCTCATAAAATAGTTTGATGGCACTGTTATTACTTACCTGATTGATTACTCAGGAGCCAAATCTAGTCTGCAAGAATAAATATTTTCATTATAACTTAGATTTATATAGTTACCAGCACATAATAACACAGTATTGACTCACAGTAAGGGAAAGGACAAGAAATGTTTTACATAGCTAAGGAAACTTTATTTGCTCACACCTGCACTTACCCTGACCTTCACTTTTGCATTTATAAGGAGAATAAGATAGGCTAAACTTCTGTTTTCTAAGAGAAAAATAATTCTGGAGGGTCAGTGTTAGATAGAAGATGAATGACAGTGAGATCACTGACCTCATTTTGGATCTCGTACAGTTACACAATGCAGTGCTTTTTGGTAAACTGCCAAGTCTCCTAATGCCAGGATATACTGAGGTACAAAGGGAAACCCCAGATGTTCGAATATCCCACGAATGCTAGGACATAGATGCATGGGGCAGAGGGTTATGCTTCTCTTTTCAGCACCTTCTTTCCCAATCCCTGCTGATGCCCAGTTGCTTGGTACTATTAAAGATGAAAAGTATGTGTGATGAAAAGTAATGAGATTTCATGTCTTGTTATATGCCCTTTCTTCTGGAAAGTTTTGCCTGAGAGAACTTGTTTTAATTTGTTCCTTTCATTTCCTCAGAACTAAACACTGGAAAGTAAATACGGCCTAATATAGCTGTTTAAATATAGGTAAAAGTAACCTGGATGATTATAAAATTAGATAACTGAAACACACAATTTTTGTTGGTAAAGGAGCTGATCTTAACTAAACTGGCAACCATGAGTTTCTGTTAGAAAACTGGAGTATTCAGTCTTATTTTTGAGAATTATGCTAGATGATGGGCTATCCAGACTTATCTTCAAACTAACGCGCTTAACTGCTACCTTAGCACCAGGACACAGATGGATGGGAAAGATGACCCTGACCTCCATAAGACCCACATTCCTGTGCAAGGATAGAAGCATGATAATCAGGAAATGATGGTTATTAGTTACAGAAAATGCATTATTGTGAAAACCAGGAGAAAAGTGCTTATGAGAGGAAGTGATTGGATTATGGGGGAATGAGAGAATAAGACTAGGTCATTTCTACTGAGTAAATTGCTGTGATTTATAAGAGAAAGAGTGTAGTGATATGGCCTCATACTGACTAGATTAATTTCACAAGCAAACCCATATCAGAATATGGCAGTTATCCACTGAAATCAAACACAGTTTTAAAAAAGATGTTTTTTTGTAAGACGTGAGACATGTTAGACACCTTTAATTTTGTAGTTTTCTTTCTAATTATACATGTTATTTTAGAAAATATTCCTACATTTTAGTATGATTTGGTTAATGTCTGATATTAATCCTTAGATGTATTTTAGATGAGTATCTTAAAGATAACATATTCAATCTAAATTTTATTACAAAGATCTAAAAAGTGCAGCAAGTGTAAACTACATATGGAAATTACCCACATGGTTGGGTAATTTGTAGATTAGATTATGCCTTAAAATTATTTCACACCATTGTTGTCTAATGCATAGATGTAAAGTGACCCCTGAAAAAAATTCTGAGATTAAATGCTCCATTAGTTCTGTAAAAAGTAATGGAAAATTGTCTTTGGAAACTTGCTTGGTTTGAAAACTAAGGCTCAATAAGCTATAAATATAATTTTATACTCTTTTCCAGACATTTCATTTTGCAATAAAGCTAATAAATACCACTGCCATAGTTACTGAAAGCATTGTTTACTCTGAAAGACACTGTTTGAGCAACAAGTCTGTCATGCATTACCTGAAAATAAACTTTATTTGTGTTTGTTCTAATTTTCAGGGAACAAGTTTGCCCTTGTATTTTTGTTTTATCTGTTGTAGCTCCCACTTGACAGCCAGCCTTCACTGAGCACTCTCCCCTTTCACCACCCCTCATGTGCTCTCACAGTTTGTTCAGTTACGCTCTTCATTCAGTTGTTCCATGCTATTCAGTATTTTTGGGGACTGCTTCCAATGGTTGAATTTGATCCTGCCTAAAAAGTCTTGTATATTGCTGTTGATCCCAGCACAGCAATCTAACTCCCATATCTAACACCCTAAACTCATCATAGCACCTTGTTTACTCCCAAATCTTCCTGTTTTATTCTGCAGCCATGGTGCCAAATTTGTAGTGTAAAGTTTTATTATTTTCCTCATTAATCTTTCATACATAATTTCAATAGCTACATACTTCATTCCATGTTCTTTTTTCTTTTCCTACCCTGTTTTCCTCCTAAAAAACTAAGTAACCTTGTATATCCTCCAGTTTTTTCCTCATTAAACCCTCTTACATAATGATTAATGGTACCAGGCCACATATTCCTGCATTAATTTTGTTTTAGAAAAGAGACTGCACCTTCTAGTTAGAATAGGTATGATCACTTTAATAATGTTCTTATAACATACTGTTAACTGATATGTATATTCTTTAGTAGATTATAAAAAAGACACCGTGAACCCAAGTTCCAGAAATATGTCCAAATCTGTTGCTTCTGTAACAGGCTGTTCAGTGATACTTACCACAGTTGTCTTTTTTTTTGTAGTAAACCCCCAAAAAAGGCAACATGGAGCCAAGTTCTGAAGTTATCTACAAATCTGTTGTCACTTCTATTCCAAGTTCTGTTTTCCTGAAATTTAAAATGGTCACTATGAAAAAGTAATACCACTTACTGAGAACTACTGTGTTGTTATTATAGTTTCATTAATATCCATGAATAAGAAATAACTAGTTAATTCACATATCACCTTGACAAAGGGAAATTTTAGGGAAATCCCATTTCTTAATGTGAACATTCTCTTTTTATTCCTATCACTTTTTTTGTGTGTGTTTTCTGGAATTTTTAAACATGTTAAGAATAAATTGAAAGGAAATGTAGAAAGTTATTTCTACTTGTACTCTCCGACATTGCAGGAAATTTTTTCTAGCATGCAGAAAATCAGGTATTTTCACAATTTCTTTTTCTTTGAATGATTCATTTGACATAAACAAATATAATTTGTCTAAATAGTTATATATATTTTGCTTGTGTCATGTAAAATTAATACAAAGAACTTGTAATTCAATAATCCTATAATTTCAATTTAAGATGCAGTTGTAGGCAGTTCATGCTCCAGAAAAGTCATAGTGGTTACAATGAAAGATGTGTTTCTAAATCACATGGTATGCTTTACAGATGAAAAAGGAAAAAAAAAAAGTTATAATTATTTAAACAGTTTGTTAAGGTAAATGTGTGAAAAAATGTTATTTTCAAATCTCTATTGGCCACTAAAATTACTGGGTTATTTTTTGTGTACTTCTTTGGCCATGATTTACATGCACAGTTTTTTCTACAGCTCCAGATGGTCCTCCAGAAAATGTGACTGTTTTAGCTACATCTCCTCACAGTATTAATATCAGCTGGAGTGAACCTGCCATCATCACAGGACCAACATGCTACCTCATAGACGTTACCTCAGTAAGGCAACTCAGTTTTACTGTTAGTAGTTATATAGATGTTTGATCATGTAAATACCACAGCAGGTTTCCTTACAGAAATTACAGGACAGAAATAAATGGATTAAAAAAAAAAAAGTTGACTGTGTCTATTTCCACATAAATTCCACATAAGAATTAATTGTAGATTTATTAATTTCTTAATGGGAGATAAATTAATTACTTCATATTAAAAAATGTGTGCTAGTAAGAGCTCTTGGAGAAAAAAAATATAGCTATAAATGTACACAGGAAAACAGTAGTTGAGCTTTGTGGAAGTGTACCTCTTTCTAACCATAATGACTTCTTTCTTCTTCAAAGGAAGAAAAGGTTCATCGTAGTGATTTTACAAACCAAAGTGGAGAGCCTAGCAAAAGGAAATGACCTGTACAAAGTTACATGGCACCAGAGGGCAAACTTTAAAGTCAAACTAGATTTCCCACTTTGCACTTGGTGCTCTGTCCATCAGATTAACTGTATTTTGGTAGCACAGCAATAACACTTCTTTCTCCTTGATCTTTATAACAAAAAAAAGCTGACATAAGAGAAAAGATCTAGTGGCCTTTGTTTTTTCATCCTCTACTACTCTTACAAAACTCTTTAAAACCACCATTAATAAACCTAATTTCCTGCCCTGTGGCAAGATATGCAGCTTTCCAAGTTCGAGCACATGAGAAGTAGGATATAGGTTCCTTGTTCTGCCAAAAATTATACAGACAGGGCTATCAGCGAAAATAGGAAGTAGTGTACCAGACATTATCCAGGAAAAGTTGTTTGCAGTTTTAAAACTTCTAAAGCAGTCTGTTAGATAGTAGCAAAAAAAATTATAAAAATTAAAGATTACTTCAAAATATTTAAGGCCTTTAAGTAGAAAGTTCTTTTAATTTTCTGAGAGTAAGACTACATGTGTATTTTCAATGTTTCTGAGTCTGTCAAAAGAATTACAGACATGCCAACATATTAATGCTGAGATTTTTGTGCAATCAAAATTTCCTAGGAGATCAGTAAAAAAATATAAATCATTTTTAAGCTACTCAGAAAAGTTACAAGAGAGACTAAAAAAATGTGTAATCCTACAATTTTCTCTTTCTCTAACTTCATTGTACAAGATGTAGAGAGAAATTTATTCAGTTCTGAAGATGCTTCCCACAGCAGTAGAATGGCAGGATGAAGGATGTACAACAGCAAGGGGAGTACTTACAGGGAAAGAATGATTCCTTGGCCCAATGTGTAGGTCACTAGAAACTAAATAACAAGTTTTATTTCTCTTTTAATAAAGTTAGAGAAGACTTCTTCCTTGTGAAAAGTTCCTGTCACTTTTGACTAAACAGCACTGTAGTGCATTAACAGAAAAACAGATCATGGTTTTTATAAACTTCCAAATTCAATTCTCAAATCTTGATTTTTTTGTATTTAATATTTAATCCACTTGTATTTAAATAATTTCTTCTCTCTCTGATAATTCCTAAATAATATAGAGAGTATAATCTGATTCTACACACTGAAAATATTATAAATACCTTTTCAATATAAGTTATAGTAAAATTCCTAAAGCAAGATGAACTATGGAATGTGAGCTATTCCATGTGAACCTGCCAGCATTTGGAAGGAACTTAAAAAACTGTTTAAATCTTCAGTTCAGAAGACTTTGGTTTTTGTTTTACAGAGTGAGTTTGTTTGGGTTTTTTCCCCAATATATTTCAGGTAATCAGCTCTGTGTCTGTGGATTCCTTGTAATCAGATGTTGTCTGTCTAATGATCAGTAACTACAGGTGTCAGTTCTGTAGAAATTTGGTAGACAAACAAATCTATTACTTTGTAAAAGCCAATAAAACTGTCGCAATCTTTTTCAGTGAAAATTTTAGTATATATTTTATAGTCCCAGTGGGAAATTTTTATGAAGACTCCAAATTCCACAAACTTTACTAATTTTTATTTTTAACTGAGTATCTTTAAGGATTTATAAAAATAGGATCACCAAACAGAATAATTCAGGTTTCTACTCTGCTATGTACTAAAAGTTAGTAATTAGTATTCATAACTCAATGTATTAGGGTTCTGCTTAAATTACTAGGACGTTCCTTGCAGTTTTGTAGATCAGAAAAACTAAAAACTACTCCTTCATTATTGTTCCTCAGAGTCATGTTTTACTTTGTCTTGCTGTCTACTATAATTAGAATAGTCCTGAATAAAATATTCCTGGAAATGGGTTAGAAACTATTAAACTTCATGAAGAATAGAAATAAATTTAATAATGTAGTGCTGATTGTATTTTAGCTATTGTATAAATAATTATATGCCAGGGTTTTTTGATAGTCAAATAGAAGAAAGTGTTTCAGCTCTTGATGGCTATCCCAGGAAATGAATGTCTGTTTTATCCATCAGATAGTTTAGTTCAGGTTAATTCTCAGTGGGGATATAGGGCTATCTGTCAAATAAAAGGTATGCTTGAGCTATTCTAATGTTTTATCAGGTGCCTTTAATACTGATTTTGTTCAGTGGGAAAACTACTGTACAACTACCTAATTCTCTTTTCAAATTACACACTGAAGAAACAATAATAAAAACATTATTAACTGAAGTAGTGGGAATAGACATAAATAAAACTTTGTAAATGATACTTGATCAAACACTAGAAAAGAACCCCTTTTTTTCCTTTTTCTCCTTTTTTGAGGCTACCATTAGAAGTGATTAATTGGATATAAAGTCTAACAATGGAGATTTGTCAACAGAACTACAGATTATTTGACATGTAAGGAGGATAGGTAGCCCAAAATGTAATCCAACCCATAGTCTGCTCTAATACAGAGACAAATATACCTAAAGTATTCCTCACAAATTATTCATTACCCTTTCCCTCTAATGTCTGGTGCTGAAAATTGCTCAGCAACCCTCAATAGATTGTTATGGTTTCTAGCTAAACTTATAGTCATTGTTTTAATTACTTAGTTAGGTATATCATTGCAGTCTGTGTAATTTTTAATTCTAATTTTTTTTTTTGTGCAAGTAAAATTTCTATTTTCATGAACACTGTAAACAAAGGATTATCTTCAATTTATTAACATGATTTTTTATATATTTCAAAGTCTCCTACCATCCCTGTTTTCTGGATTGAACCCAACATATTTCTGCTTTTCAGCTTTTCTAGTGAGAGAATTACTCCTTCCCCACTGTCTCATAAAAAGGGCTTCTATTAATATATCCCAAGAGGAATTGCACTTTCTGCAGTTGTATCCACATTATAAAATGCTGCCCAATTTTCTAGTTGTTTTTGTATTCCAAATAATTTTCTGCTATATGGCTGCTTATCTTCTGGATCTCTGCCTAGTTTGATTCCCATTTCAGATCTCTACAGTTCCCCTGCCCCAGTGCTTAGAAATCAGTTCATGCTTGCTTGGTGTAAGATGGCACCAAGCAAACAGCCCCTGTCCTTAGTCCCATACTACAGGAAGTGACAAAGAGGCAACACATGGGTGAGATGGGAGTGTATTCCCCAGCACAGCTTTCTAGTCTTGGTAGCTGGAGAATTCTTGTGAATCCATCTACATAACTAGGTAGAAAAGGGGAAGAATTGAAGTTAAATAAGATGTTCAAATAGTAATTTCTTGGGTTTGGGTGTTTCAAGCCTTGTAACATTTTTTTTTATTCTATTCTTTTTTTACAGGTAGATAATGGCAACTATAAAGCTCAGTTTTTGAAGACAAAGGATGAGGTTAAAGTCTTAGAAATTTCTGATTTAAAAGCATTTACAAGGTATTCTGTAGTAATCACTGCCTTTACGGGGGATGTTAATGCTGCTCTCCTAGAAGGCAAGGCTAGTTCTCCAGTGATTGTCTCCACTTTTGAAGCAGGTTTGTATTTTTTTCTACTTTGTATGGAACAAACTTTGCAGTTTTTTCTTTCATGTGACAAATAAATGAGAATTTTGAACACAAGGTGTGCTTTTAATACAGATTTATCCTCACAATATTTTTTCTTTAATATTTAAAAATATTTCAGTCAACAAAAAAGGGATGGTTATGAATACTAAGATTTACCTTTACTTCTGCAGGGATCCTAACTTACTTCATGTAAAATTTGGGTGTGTGGATTACTAGATTACTAGATTATTTCTATAGTCAATGAAGAAGGAGGTCCTATCTATATTAGCATGTATATATAAGATACCTCTCTTAGGCAGGGATGATTGCCTTGTGGAGGTGCCTGTTTCTCTTAAGAGACTGCTGAAAACTCTATGCAACATGCTTGGTTTTGGTGCAAAATCGAAACACATAAAAACTAAATGAAAGTGAATCCTACCATTTATAAATTGTACCTGTATTGACTTGAGGACACAGTATGTGTATTCCTCCTTCCTTCAGTGCAAGGAAGTTGCTAGTGAAGGCTCACAGGGATCTATACTTGAGACAGCTGTTCCACAGACTCAAAACAATCTGGAGAATGAGCTACATATTACGGTGACAAAAGTTTCTGATGTTATTAAGTTACTCAGAGAAATAAAACTGAGAGAAGAGAGTAAGGAACTGTATGAGGACCTCATGGCGCTGTGTTACAGAAAAGTAGACAGGATTGTCATTTGCTTAGAAAAATATAAATAGATGTACATGGAGAAGATGCAGTCCTAACTTTACATACATAGGTCATGGTTATGCTCTACTATCTTTGCTGGTTTTGAATAAAAATATTTTCTCAAAAGGTATTAAAGTTTTGTTTCATTCGAAGTATTTATCAACTGTCTCTACTGAGGTCAGCTGAAGGTCAACTTTTTTAGCTACATACTCAGGTTAATTTCAGATTTAAACATACTACACAGTGATTGTATTTATCATTTATCTTTCCTTTGATGTATGAAAATCCAAGGTCCCTAATCATATGATACGATATGAGTGTGTTTATGTATATCTCTCCAGTGCCTTTAATAAGTTAAATTCTAAGGATTTCATAACCTGTTTATATCCCTGGAAGGTGATATGGTCTTTTACTGTGGAAAAATTAAAGAAGATTAAATTAGGTGCTAGCTGGGTCTATCCTGAGACAGACAGTATCCTGTGATACCTGTTTTGGTAGTCCTTTCTCTTATTTAAATGTGTGATACATTAGGAGGTGCAGTAACCTTAGAGAGGAACTTTCTTTTTTCCATCTCATCCTGTCTCATTTGGTTTGTACAGCCCAGCATATAGCTGAGTTAGGACCAGTTTACAAAGACTTGCTCCAGTGAAGCCTGAGTAAGCATTTGTTGGTTGGTATAAAAAAAAAAAGGAAAGTATGACAACTGCATCTAAATCCTTGGCTGAATGTGTTGATTTCACTATTTAGAGGTCATGCTACATACTTGTCTGCTCAGGTAGAGCAATAAATATTTAGCTGCCTGAAAAGAATGTTACAGCCTTTTCTTTCAGATAGGGACATTGGGAAAATGATTTATACCTTTGCTGTCTTGAGAATAAGCTACTGGAATAAGAATTTGACAAGAAACTACCTCTGGGAAAAATGCATGTTGTACTTGTGTCTGGGCATCAGCTAATGGAAAATTTTTTCCTAAAGAGTTAGCCGTGATAATCAGAGACTATTTGGTACAGTGGCTTGTTTATATGTTGGGAGGGAGCTTGCTGTTGACAGAGGGCTTTCAGAAAGTGATACTCACTGACACTTGCTTCTTACTTGTCAACCCATGCAAGGGTTTGTTTACCTCAGATGTATTTCAAGGTATAATGATACCTTCAGGCTTTCTGAGTAGATAATCAGAAGAAATTTTTGAAATTTTTTAATAAAACCCAGAAAATATCAATGGAATAATACCGATGTGCAAAAAATATGATTTGTAATTTTTCTGATTTTACTCTAATAGTAACAGTTGTAGACTGATTAAGTGGATCATTGAGATATTTATTTCAGTGCCTGAAGACCCACCTAACAACATAACTTTTCAGAAGATACCAGATGAAGTAACAAAGTTCCAAGTAACATTTGTGCCACCATCTGAACCAAATGGAAATATTCAAGTGTATCAAGCTATGGTTTACAATGAAGATGATCCCGCTGCCATCCAGATCCACAACCTCAGTGTCATTGAAAAAAAAGATCAGTCAGTCACTGCCATGATAGAAGGACTAAAAGGAGGACATACCTATAATGTCAGCGTAAGAATTGATAGTTTTGCTTTGGATTTTTTTCTTTGATATGCATGAGATTAGTTTGAATGGGGAACACAAACTTTGACTGACTATGAGATTTCCATGCCAAGAATGTTAGCTGGAGTGCAAAGAGAGGCAAGTCTGAGGAATGAGGGGAGCAATGAACAGGGTAGAGTGAGTGGGAGCAGGACGCATCCCTAGTCCAGCTGACCAGTTCCTGTGCAGTAGCACAGCAGTCTGACACATCCTCACAAGCACAGGACTAAATCTCTCTCAATCCGCTATTTGCATTGCTCACTCGGCTCCCCTGAAAGGTCTGATTCTGCAAGGGGAGCTTGCTAGGAGTATGTGAATGAAGTACTTTCAAATAGTCAGAAACTGGGACATAAGAGGGGGAACTAAAACTCTTCAAGTGGGCTTGTTTTCTCCTTTTTGTAAGAGCTACATTACAAGTGATGAAGTGTTACTGTGCTTAGGATTGTAAAGCAATATAAAGTAAGTTCTAGCAAAGTGTGAATGACAAAAGGAGTATTTTGGCATTCATTGTTGCTTCAAGTATATCCAGAACTGGCCAATATGAAGCTCTTACAAATACTTATTAAGCAAGTGTTTGCTTTTTTAAAGGTATATGCAATTAATGGTGCTGGCGCGGGGCCGAAAATTCAATTGAAAATAACCATGGATATCAAAGGTATGTCTCATAAAATACCCTTTATCTGAAATCTTTATAAATGCTGAAGAAATTGCTGAGTACACAGCTGTGCGCCTTTGGCTATTATTTAGAGGCCACATAATGTAGGAACAGGAATCTGTAACTGATAGCCTTGAATTGTAGTGTTCAATTTTGCTGCATATTAATCATCATTTGCTATTTGTATCTGAACAATACTGTAAAGCATGTGTAGACTCAATGAAGTAATCATATTGAGTTCAATATTTTAATTATCATCAGGGAACAGCTTAGAATGGGACAGAGGTAAAGCTAAGTATGCAGGGTAACAGTTGTCGAAATAAACAAAAGTGAAATTAACTGAAAAACTAATACGCGGTCTTTTTGTTTTCTCTTTTAATTGAAAACCGATGCACATAGACATTTATCAGAATATAGTTTTTAGAGTCTTAAGACATTAAGTAAAACATTAAATCATCCCTGAAAACATGCTGAAGATTTCTCATGCATAACACAGCTATGTGCCTGAACAATGTGTCTGTAGTGAAAATATTGTAAAACAGAACTCTGTGGTATATCTTTATTTAAAAACAGAACCACCAAGACCTAAAAAGAAACCAGTACCAGTTTATGATACCAATGGGGCATTACTCGTCACAGCTACAACAATTGCAATCAAAATGCCAATATGTTATTACAGTGATGATCATGGCCCTATCAAGAAGATACAAATTCTTGTTGTGGAAGCTGGAGGTAGAATTTTATACGTTCTCTTGAAAACTTTTTAAAGCTCAGGCTGTTTGTCTTTTTCATTTCTTATCTTGGGTTTCAGTAGTTTCACTTTCGAAAGCAGCTAACAAAGTCACTTTAGCTGTGACAATAGCACTAAGAGGAAAGTATCTTTCACAATACTTATGGCCTGGGTGCTGGATTTTGGGAACGCTTACCAATTAAGTGTCATCCACGTTGTTTGAAGCCACCAATATTATTCAGTCCCTACTTTTGTCATTATATTTCTTTATTTTCTATTTCCTTGAAATAGAAAGACCCAACATTTGACATTTGTGAAAGTTAAAAAGTCTGAAACCTTTCTTTTTTTGGCAAGGTTATTCTTCTGTCATCATTAGTGTTGCCTATAAAAGAATGCAGTCATGTGCAGTTGATATTTCCATTTCATAATGGGGGCAGAGGGAGTTATATAAATTCCTTCTGTAGACTATGGGTAAGAATGTTTATTCCCTTGTACAGGCTGATGAATATTTACTCATATGAACACTGCTGTGAAACTCTTGAGTAATTGCTTACCAATATGAGTGGGAGTTTTATGATAGGACATCATATGATCAGGCTTACTTACCTAAGAAGGACAAATTCCAGGAATTTAATTCCCTTATTTTCCTTGGTTTCAAAGTGCAGAAGTAAAGCATATACATTAAGTGAACTCACATTATGCGGGTCACCTTTTTCTGAATTTTGCATTTTAGCACTAATCCTAAAGAAATTTACTTCATAACTATAGCTGTGAAGATTTTATTGAACTGACAGATATGCAAACACCATGCTAAGCAATATTTTGAAGATTTTTCTCATAAGCTGCTAGGTACCATCCACTTATGCAAATCTACTGGTTTAATTTCTGAAACAATCTTTACTGTCTTGAGTAAACACTTTTTACTGTCTTTGCTAGCTAGCCATGCTCAGTTTCAAGGTCAAGTGGCTTGCACAAGTAATATTCTCTACAGGCAGAGCTCCTGTGCAAAATCACCCCGCAAATTTTCTAACTGTGATTCAGTTGACTTACTCAGAGATAACAAAACATGCAGAGTGGATAGTAAAAGTGCAAACGCAGCTATAGACTTAGTTGTGTAAATAGCACCAATAGCATGCTAAGCTCTTAAAAAATATATTTTCCTATTTAACTTCTTCAATTACAGCCTGGTTAGAATGTAAATTGTATCTATTATTTCTTTTCTTGACAATAGCTCAGCATGATGGGAATGTTACCAAGTGGTACGATGCCTACTTCAACAGACCAAGGCCATATTTTACAAATGAAGGCTTTCCAAACCCACCATGTGTAGAAGGAAAAGAAGTTCTGAGTGGGAAAGAAGAGATATATGTCATAGGTGCTGATACCACGTGTATGATACCAGGCAGTCAAGATAAAATATGTAATGGTCCACTTAAACCAAGAAAGCAGTACCTGTAAGTACATTTGTCTCAGTTTGTCCAAGAGAAGGATTTAAGTGAAATATAGATTTATGCAAACACATAAAACATGTAGTTTAATTAGAAAAGGTGGAGATTGAAATAATCGTCATGTGTTTCTAATTTTAAATTTTTTTGGCTGAGCATAAATATGGGAGACAAATTTTTTACAAAATTTTTCACAAAATTTTTCAAGCAACAAAAGGTGCTTACTGAGTTCTTAAATTAAATAAAGCCAAATTCAAGACAAGTAATTCACACAGGTTTTTTTAATACATTCAGGATATTGACAGAGTCCTTAATGTCTGTCATAATGTCCCTTTTGCAGGTGAATAATGATTCCAACTTATATTATGCTAAAGCTAAAAATAGTTTTTAGTTTCTAAGTGAAACAATATTTAAGAAAATGCACATAAACTTTTATTTCATTAGTTTTCTTGCTTTTATTTCACAGATTTAAGTTCAGAGCAACTAACATTAAAGGACAGTTTACAGATTCTGACTATTCTGACCCTATCAAAACGTTAGGTAAGGAGAGTGTCATTTAATAAAGTATTTCTCTATTTCCAAGGGTCTAGACAATTCCATTTTTCTTTTTGGTACAGTGGTTTTCATGAAGTAAATAATCTCTATTTTTGTTGGACCTAGCTTGACTAAAATGGCTGAGGAAATATATTTATTGCCTTGTATGTCCTCTTGAGGTTTCCAAGAGATTTTACCTCAGCCTGGAATGTTAAATAAAGAAGTAGTGTTGACAAAGTTCATTTGCAGAGATTCAATTATACCAATAAAACAACCATGTTGTCCGGATAGTTCATTTTGCTTGTTGAACTTCCAGAAGCTCTACTGTTTTTGCTGTTTCCTTCTGTGTTGGATGTGGAACTAGTATTGTATACTCTTAGCTGGTTAAAAAGATGGCTGGATGGCTAGGCCCAAAGAATGGTGGTTAAATGGAATTACATTCAGCTGGTGGCTGGTCACTAGAACTGTTCCCACTGAGCTCAGTATGCAGCCAGTCCTGTTTAATGTCTTTATTGATGGTCTGGACTAGAGGATCAAGGGCACCCTCAGTTGGTTTGCAGATTACACCAAGTTGGGCAGGAGTATTGATTGATCTGCTGGAGGGTAGGAAGGCTCTGCAGAGGGATTTGGACAGGCTGGATCCACAGTCTGAGACCAATGATATGAGGTTCAACAAGGCCAAGTGCTGGGTCCTACAGTTGGGTCACAACAACCCCAGGCAGCACTACAGGCTGGGAGCAGAGTGCCTGGAAAGAGTGCCCAGACTCTGCCCTGAACAGAGTCCCAAGGGAAAAAGGACCTGGAGGTGCTGGTTGACAGCCAGCTGAACATGAGCCAGCATGTGCCCTGGTGGCCAAGGCCAATGGCATCCTGGCCTCCATCAGAAATTGTGTAGTTTACCAGAACCAGGGCAGTGATTGTCCCTCTCTACTCAGCCCTGATGAGCCAACACCTCGAGTGCTGCATGCAATTCTGGACCTCTCACTACAAGACATTGAGGTGCTGGAGCTTCTCCAGAGAATGGCTGGTGAAGGGTCTGGAGCACAAGTCTTCTGAGGAGAAGCTGAGGGAGCTGGAGTTGTTTAGCCTGGAGAAACGGAGGCTCAGGGGAGACCTTATTGCTCTCTAGAGCTACTTGAGAGGAGGTTATAGCCATGTAGGGATTGAACTCTTCTCCCAAGTAACAAGCAATAGGACATGGCTTCAATTTGTGCCAGGGGAGGTTTAGATTGGATATCAGGAAAAATTTCTTCATAGAAATAGTTGTCAAGCATTGGAACAGGCTGCCCAAGGAAGTGGTAGAGTCACTATCCCTGGAGGCAATTTAAAGAAATGTAGATGTGGCGCTTAGGGACATGGTTTAATGATGGACTTGGCAGTGTTGAGTTAGCATTTGGACTCCATGATCTTAAAGGACTTTTCCAACCTAAATTATTCCATGATTATATTCCAATGAGCCTAGTAGCAGGTTACCTGAGGACATGACCCTCTAATCCCTTTATCTTTAGCTACAGACAAAGCCCCATATGAATTAATAAATCAATAAATTAATATTGTATAATAGAATCCATCTGGTTCTAATGTCACTAGCCAATAGACCAGCTGTTATTTGGTCTGAAATACAACATAATTCCTTCATGACTGTATTGATATACCCCCAAAATTGGGAATGATGTCTCTTGAAGCAAACTGTAATAAGATCTGTAAGCTGTTCTAATATATTTTCAAGACCAAAACTTACTCAGCTAAGCATTAGCCCAGACTTTCTGAAAATGGATCCCAAGACAACTGGATGAGTACCCAGAAGAATTTTAGTGGGCACATATTTTTCACTTGGCATTCATCTTCTGTGATATGAGCTCCCTTATTCATCTAATCCATTTTAGAAATTTGTTACACGATCTGGTACTGAAGACCCTGAAATGCTAATTCACTACCTCAATATTCTGAAAGGATCCGGTACTATTTCTCTAGTCCTGAATATTTTGGAAAGTGCAACATAAAAGTTGTCTTTATATGTTCTGAGTTTAAAAGTCAATGGAGCAAATATTTTGCCCAGTAAGGGAAAGATAGTGTTCCACTCAGGGAAAACAAGTTTACTAGAAATGAGTCCAATTCTATCCAGTTCTCTGGGCATCTTTCTCCTCTCTATCAGAAAAGTCTGCAGTACTTAGTGGCAGGCAGATATTCTAATTCATTTGCTTATGTATTTTTACTGAAAATTTGTGACACCTTTTCTCTTTCGTAGGTGATAAATAAGCGCAATCTCTTTTATGCTGAATAAAATGTAACAGGAAAAAAATAAACAACAAAACAAGGGATATATTCCTCAGATATCCATGGCTCCTCATACCCATCCAATGCCTTCTGCGCTAAACTTTAACATCAAGCACTGCTTTTTAAGACCAGACTACAGCATCCTCTTGTCTAGCCTTAACTTCTAAATTTCAGAGCCCATACAACAAGAAATACATGGAATAGATAACTAAAAGTTCTTTGAATGTTTTTTTACAAGTTCTGTGAAATCAACATAAAACTGATATACCACAAATGATACAGGTACTGCACTTAAGGGATCTTAAGGATGCAGCACAGGCAATGCCATTACCAATATCATCTTAAGTGAATAAGGGAAATTAGATTTTTTAGACACATTTTCTCTGGAGACACATAACATAAGGAACCTTGCCCAAGTGTTTTCTTCCAGAACATGCCTTGGTTATGTGAACTTTGGGCTTGCTCTAGAGGCCTAATTCAGAACATACAAGATAGATCTGTAGCTTTTAGAGGTTTCTGTGACCCAATTACTTATATTGCACTCATAGCATCAGCTTCTTTCCAAGAGAAGTTTATGGTGCCTGAAATCAATTAGCTTCTTTCATAATAATCACTGAAATTTGTAGTTTTCCAACATTACAGTTTCACTTTAGTAGATAAAACACTAATTTAAATTTTGGCAGAGGTATTCACAACAGTTAAAAGAACTCTAAATTATTTTGGTTCCTAAATCTATTAATCGAATAGGTAGGTCTTTGATCTGGAAAATCAGAAAGATAACCTTGTATAATTTGCAGCAGAAAAAAATATGGGAACCTTGAGAGATTTCTCTGTGACAGATGTCAGATGCTCTTGTTAAACAACAGGAATTTTGCTAGGAAGCAGAAATTATTGGAATACACAGCTGCAATAATGTTTTTTTTAATTATAGTAAAGGATACACTTTAATAACGTGCACCCACTCAACCATACTCAGAGTACCACAACCCTCCTCTTAAGCTGGAGAGGTGGAGTTTCTTCCTCATAACCCATGACTGACATTGCAAAAATAATGTCCATATTACAAGGAAAGGTCAGGATTTTTCCATGAGATAATTAAGATGTGGTGATAAATTCTGTTTAAACTTTTAATACATCAAGGCAGATTATAACCTTTTTGTAAACTCTGATAGCTTGTTCAGCAAATCATTGTGAGGCAACTGGTAAGTTGTGTAAGTGTACTTTTTCCATGTGAAATATAAAACTGATGAGATAAGAAATAATCAGAATGGGGTTTCCTGACACTGCCTGTTGCATAGAAACTGACCTTAATATATTCTACTATTACACTTTATTATCATCATGCATTGAGTGCAGCACCTCAGAATTATACAATGTGATATTTTCTGGTTTGTCTCCTTTCCCTTGCTCATAATCATCTCTACAGACATGTCTACACAGAAAAGTGTAGGCCTTCCCTGTTGCAAAGAAGTAGGAAAAAATGTGGGGGTTTTATTCTTGGTGGCACAATTCTGCTAGCACTGTTTTGGTTAATAACATTGGTATTGTTTGGACTGATGTTAATTGTAGGGTTTAACACAGACTTCACTGTTCACTGCAAAACAGATAGAACCATTGTAGAAGTTCCTCTGTATATTCTTCTGTCCTTCTTCCACATTGCTAACATTTTTGCATTATCATAGTAATAAGTGAGTGGCACGGATGTTTTCATTCATTTTCTCATTGAAACATTTTTGTATATATTTGCTTTTCTCTTCTTTTGTCTTTCCCTGGGTGAAATTTTTCTTATCTTGTAGTGTCCAGTGTTGCATCTAAAACTTTGTTAATGCAGTGGAAGAATTATTTCAGGCATTCTGTAAACTATACTGAATTCTGTTGCCTGTCAGGCATGATATTGCTTATTCATGTTAGTTTTGGTCTACAGTAATCTCATTCTTTCTTTTGATAAATTTCTATCTAACCTACTGTTTATTGTGCTGTATTATTGTAGCTGATTATTTCTACCTACATGTAGAACCATGCACTTGATCTTACAAAATTGCATCCTACTGTTTTAAGATCATTTCTTCAGATAAATCAGGATCGTTTTGAATTTGAATGATGTTCTCCTATGGACATCAGTCCAGATCATCTGCAATACACTCTGTAATCCCAAAACAGAGCCTTTTGAGAGAAACAAAGCCAGGACTACAGTGTTTCCCAAGTGTCTGTGGGAGGATGTTGTCCTTTGCGTGGGAAATCTCAGTTTCATATGGCAGGAAGCAGTACATTTTCTCCCCTTCCTTGAGGCTAAACAGGAGCTAGGTTTTCTACAGTGGATCAGCAGTGAAGGTGAATTTCAACAGAGGTGAACAATATCAGCAGTAGTATTCCCTTGCTTTACTTATTTTCACTGTTGCCCAAGGGAAAAAGAGGGTGAGGTTTTTTTTAGATAGGTACTGGATTACCAGGAAGGGTGGGAAATAAAATGAGTCTCAGAAATATAGCACTAAAGAGGTTCAAAAAGAGGCCTAGAAACTTCTAATCTAAATAGTTTATCAGTTTCTGAATGAGTTTTCATTCTCACCTGGAAGGACTGATTATTATCACAGAGGCCTTTATGATTACTTTTGACCTACTGATGGTTATTCCTGACAATATCACCAATTCACATAAACAAGGAGCATGAGTTAATTGCCAGTGAGGCAGATTAATCCAGGAAGTTCAGATCTGGTCACTAGTTGGGTTCTTTCAGCACCCTTAGAATATCTCTAAAAATAGTATCTTTTTTTTTGTACTTTTGAGTGGCAGCAAGCCTCATAGTTTTAGGGTTGTGCTCTGCCTTTTCCACTTGAAGAGTATGAGTAGTCCTCCTCTGTTCTTGGCTGCACAGAGACTGAAGCAGGAGCTTAGCTCAGGCCAAGATTCAGACTGATATTACTGCAGTGTAGACTTAACCAGTTGAGCAGGTAAAACTGAGAAGCACCAAGGGATGGCTGCACATACAGCTCTAACCACGTACTATTAGCGTTATGTGTTACACAGATCAGCAATGCTCAGGAACCTCTTCATAAATTGTTTCTGGGTTTGTTATATTTTTCTTTCTGAATCAGCTCTTCAACCACCACAAAACGGATGCAGTTGCACAGAGACAAAAGGAGTCTGTCTGCCATCATTTCCTTATTTCCCACTGTCAGAAATGTAAAAATTCTAAAGAATCTATGAAATACTAGCTTTCCACTTTCTGTTGCAGGTGAAGGACTAACTGGAAGATCTGTAGAAGTTATCCTTGCTGTTACTCTGTGTATACTTTCGGTTGTTCTTTTGGTGGCTGCAGTGTATGCTTTTGCAAGGTGAGATTTATGTATCCTTGCCATAGTATGTTTGAAAACACTCAAAAATGTTTTAAAGAAGAGTTGAAATGGTCTTATAAACAGAACAATTCTGTCATTTCAAAATGTGTTGGGTTTTGGTTGGGGTTTTTTGAGTAGCCTATCTTAAATTTCTGAAGTCACTTCTCTATTGACAGATCAGAGTGTCAGCTGGTTGAAGCTATCGTGATGACTAACACTATTTATAGCTGAATATGAAGTAAATACTCTAAATTCTATTTTCTGTCTTGCTAATGAATTTATCACTTCAATACATTGAAATAGCACACATGAAAGAGAAATTGAGTTCTAATTCAAATTGTGAACAAAATCTCCATGTAAAGAAGCAGGCTGGGCACTGCACACACAATGTTAGTTTCCTCATTCATCAGTTCTGTTCTCCCTCAGTTGCATTATTCAGGCATTACCAAAGAATTTATGTAGGAAAACTAAAAGAATATAGCAGCTAGATTCTTTTTTCTGAATTTTAGACAACGTAACTGCAGTTACATTTGTCCACTAAATTAAACCATTGGAAGGGAGAGAATAAAGGCCAAGGAAGGATTCCCGGCAACCATTTTTCAGTTTCAGCCTGTCAAATCAAAGTATTGATATATATGTTCTTAAGTCTTTTGCATGTTTATTTTTCACTTTATTCTCTGTTTAGAATTCGGCAGAAGCAAAAAGAGGGAGGCACATACTCCCCACGAGATGCTGAAATTATTGACACTAAGTTCAAACTGGATCAGCTGATCACAGTGGCAGACCTGGAGCTGAAGGATGAGAGATTTACACGGTAAGCATACTCCTTAGGCAAAACAGTAGCCCAAAGGGTCTGTAGCCATGACCCCTTTCTGACCTTTGCTTGTTTGGAAGTGTTTGTGCTGTTCTTACTTACACAGGTCACTGAGATCCTTTTTCAAAGAATGACCTCCATCCTCAAGACACTTCTCACTAGCTTTTAGAAAATCACTTAATCTTAAGCTCTTTTTACAACAAGGTAAAGATCTAAGTGCAAATCACTGTTTAATTGTGTTAGCCAAAAAAGGGTTACATATTTTTAAACATGCAGAATTTCCGAGGTTTTAATGGCCCAGTGTTTCTGTAGGCTGCAAACTTACATAAGTATTTTGAAAGAACCAAACTCCCAGAAATCCCTGTCAACTAATTTGAGAAAAAATCAACTAATTCATTAACAAATCTATCATTATTTAATTGACATTCAGAAAACTTTTTTTTTTTTTTTTAACCAAGGTATTTGCAAAACATCTGGGTTTCTGTGGAGCTCAGCACACTCCTTTAAGGTGCATGCAGCAATTCCAGGCTATTCATATTTTCTATTTGACAAGGAATCTTATCACAGATATTTATCAAAGGAAAACCACTCTTTTTGACTGCCAGAAATATGGATACTATTCACCAAATAAATATAACTCTTATTCTCAATAATATGGGACATCCAACTGAGTTAGAAATATTTGGCAAACATTCCTCACCTGCCAGTATTTTCCCTGCTGTGTCACAGATGAAACACTGTGGTAGGCAGTCTTCTTAAAGATGAGAAGCCTAAAATAGTCTTGCCCTACAAGTCAAACATCCTATTGTTGCAGGTTAGGAATAGCTGGAAGATGAAAGGTTGTTAGCTGTTGACCTGGGCTTTTTGTACATGTCTACGTGTGTGGTACAGAGTAAGTTGATTGCATGTACAAGCCTGTTCAAAGTAGAGCACACAAGAATGGCTGCTTGTGACAGATGAGAAAACATACTGTGAATCATCTGATGTAACAGATGTGGTATGTTGTGTGTGGGACACTTGTTGTGCAGATAACCTTGTTTAGTACCTGCTAGCAACAGTGGAAAGCATCCTCTGAAGACAGAACCATAGCCAATGCATGGTGATAACTGTGACTCATATAAATGGTCTTGATGGATCTTCAAAATTACCTTGTTTCCAAACTGTTAGCTGAATAAAAATAGCATTAATTTTGCTTATATACTAAAGTGTTAATGGATTTTACTTCCAGATACTCTTCGTTTTTCTTTAGACGCAAGGAGATATTTGTCATCCAGTAAGTTTTTGTATTACTGAAGCAACATGTGTTTTCTATTCTATTCTCTCAACCTGTGTGTTACTGTACTGTATTGAGCAATATAGTTAATAAAAATGAAATGTCAATCTTTGCAGACATAATAATGACAAAAATTGTATTTGTCATCATGAAATCATGTCTATTTTTAGTACCTAACTTTAAGTTATAACAGTTCCACAACTATTTTACATGGAAACTATAACACATTATGGCAATTTAACCCTGAGATATATAACCTATCCTTAAAAAAAAGGTAGTGCAAATGCGACATAAGAAACATGATGTTACTTTCTTTGGCAGTTAGAATGTATATACTCAAGATAAATTCTTTTTTTTTCTCAACTGCCTTTTGTACTCATACTGCAGGAGTTTCATACTATACCCCTACAATCTCAGCAATATATCCCCCCAGTCAAATGTTTTATCAGTTTTCAGATACTATTCTGCCACTCTTCTGTCTAAATTATGTGTAGTTTAGACTTGCAGAGTCTCAAACTCTTCAGGGTAATTGCAAGCTATATTTTTTCATACTTATGTACACTTCACTATGTGATTTAGACACAGCAAGGCCTTTACTGAACTGTGTTTTAGCAGTTTTAGTTACATCACCCTTATTTTAATGAGTCAGATTCACATCTTGGTTTGCAATTTGTCATGTTGTTCCATCTGTACTTTTCTCTTTCCTCCTTCCATCCCTTCTTTAATGGTCAAAAGCAAAGACTCTATATTTCTGTCATTGTGAGGTACATGAAGTAGCTGTTAAAATTTTTGATTGTTACTTTTCAAACAGTAGTGGTACTGAAGCTACAGTGGCCTCCTTGCTCAGGTCTTTTGTTGAACATTAAGACAAACTGTTGAAGTTTGAAGTGCAGGCACTAATTGAGAATTCCTCGGGATAGAATTCAGGACCTCTTTTCAACTGGAAGACAGAAAATATACTGTGGAACCCTACTACATAACATACACATAGTAATGAGGGGTAGGATATCCTTTACCTGATCAAATTTTTTGAGTTTATTTTGACTTTTTTCTTTTTTAAGCTTCAAAGAATGTTTCAATATCTGTAATGTTCTGTTCTGGTAATGCCAGTGACCAAAAGAGACAATTTAGGTGTCCTTCTTCATAATGATGAGTTATATCAAGGAGCTGTCAGAAGCATGGCAGCATGTGCCAAGGCAGTTTACTGCAAAGCCTAATACCTAAAATATGTTTGCTACCTGTTTTCAGACTTCCACAGTTGCATCATGAAAGAGCTTTAGTACTTGTTACCTTTGGGGAACAGCCATGCTGAGTCAATCCCAGTCCCAGTTCTTGTGTTGACCCTATAATTTCATTATTTGTTGTTAAAGCAGTGACATGTTAGCATGTTAAATTATTGTATTACATGTTGATGACTACAGTGTAACCTTTACAAATTTCCCATGCATTTGGAACAGGCATCACTGCATCTGCACAACCTACTGCTATACACTGACTGCATTTAGGCAGGTATCTCAACTGTGTTTCAAAGCTTACTGTATTTCAGTTTGTGGTATTCTGTAAGTGTATGAGGAAAGCATAGATGGGCAGATTCTCTTGTCAGACTGGTATGTTTGTATTTCTTGGATAACAGTAAATCAGTTGAAATCTTATCCAGCTTTCTACTCTGAAAAAGTGATGGGGAGTTTGTGTGAAACTCTTAGGTGATAAAAGAACATAGCATAGATTTTTTTTTTTCTACCTAATCATCACCTTATTCAGTGCTCATTTGAAGGGGATGTTTTTGAAACCACATGTTTTTTCATTTCTCAGACAGTATATTATCTATCATGGTAGTGACTATAAATCAATAAAGGCATGCACTTGCAGCTGACACCATTCATCCACAGAATCAAAATACTCTAGCCTGCTCCCCAAGATCTTTCTTGACCGTCTCTTATACATTATCTCTTTAGACAGTCTCTCATACTTAGTGAATTGTGGCCTATGATCTTGGCTCTTGTCAGAAAATTTGTGCAGCTGGTATCACACAAGAAATGGAGTAGAAAAAGGTTTTTCTGTTCTGTATGAATATGACTGGAAATATTTTTTATCATTCCTAGATCAAAAATTTGACAGCTTGAAGCTTAGCAAATGTTCAGTATAGGTTAATCAAAGCATTATATTTCAAACATTTTTATGAATTTTTTCATATTAAATATTTTGCATTACAGAAGTCAGTTTGACTAGAAAAAGACAAATTTAAAAGTACTAAGTATCCCATTTTGACAATTTTGAAACTTTTTGGGGGGTAACATTTTTTTTCAGACCATGAAATTAATGGAAAATCCCAGTCACCACTAGTAATCTTTTAACATAATGGTCATCATAAAAAATTTACTTGAAAAACTTCAGTGTCCAATATTACTAATACTAGCAAGTGCATATACACTGTCTCTCAACAAGTCTTTGTTAGGCAACTAATTAATTGGATGCAGTTTCAGAGGACATGCAGGGAATTAAGTCCTACTGAATTCAGTGGAAAATGAGATCTTCTTTATGAATCCAAAATGAGTGTTTGGGACATATGATGCTCTCCATGATGGTGGAGATGGTGTGAGACAGGCAATAACAGAAAAAAACAACCTTGTTTAAAACATATACAGTCCATCAATCTAAATTAGATTAAAGATTGTTTCATTAAGCACACTGAATATACATATGCTGGGTGCTCTCGTTACTTACCTTTTAAAACATTTACATAGGGTTTGCCAAGTCACTTTTCAAAGCAGACACTAAATTCTATGAATAGATTCTGTCACTAAATTTTCAGGGTATGCCAGGTTTGGTGAGAGACAAGTAACTCTTCCCTGTTACAGGTGCTCACCTAGGAGACAATCTACTTGTCACCCTCCTTTTGCAGTGGTTTCTGCAGCAAGATAAAGCTGTGCAGATCCCTGTTTCCTAAAGTCTTTCCTTGAGAAGTTGCATCTTGCGGTTGATCCTTTGAGGCTTTTGTTTCACTTTGTGTGAGACAGCTTGTCAAACAAATGGGGCACAGACTCAGAAGAAATTTTTCTGCATTACAGACATTGTAGCCATTGCAAATACCAGGTAATTAGAAATCCTTTTGAAAACTATTGTTTATAAAATGATTATCTGATCTCACCCTCCCTATATACTTTACATATGGTAGGTGTCTGTATTTGAGGTAACAATTTTGCACACACATTACTTTCCATAGACCAGCCTGTTTCTTTCTGTAGACAGACCTATCTTCCTTTGAGTGGGGATAGGCATGGATTCTGCCTTGCCTTTTTCTTAAACAAGTTTCCTCTAGTAATCTATTATCAAAAATAGACTTCTTGAAGTTTGTATTCCAGGAGTACAAAGTTTATGAATGTATGTGTCCTGGTACAATGGAAGAAATGACCATGTGTTCTCTTTCCTTAAACCTTTAATATTTAGGAAGGGTTAAGCTCCGTATTGCTTTCAATTAACTTGTTAAAAATTAGTTCCTCCCTTGGTCCTAGGAAGTGTCAATGGTGCTTATGAGTTAAGCCTTTTGCCCACAGTCATTTCTGTTGTTTTCTATTTGGATGAAGTTTTAATTCCCTGTGGATTTCAGATGATTGACCCAGAGAGAAAGCAGAGTCTGTGTGGCAATATGGTCTTCAGTTACCACTGCCAACACAAATAAATGCCTTCTTTCTAGCTCTATCATAAGTAATCTGAGTGGGATTCAGATTTTTGATAGACTTCAAAAAAACCCCACACATGAAACAATACACTGTTTTAAAAGAAAATCAGATTTAAGGCAATAAAGCATTCTTTATCTGAGAGAATGTTTTTCTTTCCTAGTTTCAAAGTCCGACAAGTGGGAATCTGAAATGGTCCAACTGAAATAGGGAAATTTTCAACTTTGTGGTGTGATTCTAAATTGTGCTCATGAAGATCTAGTGATATTTATATTTTTATGTTTTATAAGAAAGGCTGGGAAATGTGGAGGATAAGATTATAGGTAGATGAGTATTTGTTCATTGTTCAAACACTGTAAGATTATTATTACATATTCTAAATCAAGAGACATGGAAATATGCTAATTTTTTAAACCCAAGCATGCTGAAACTGAGCACAAGCGGAAGTTTTTAAAGAGAACACAAAATTCATCCTCTCTGAAGATCCTTACACAACAAGACCAAGATCTTTACCATAGTTAGTCAAGAAAGACATGAATTTTCATATAAGAATTTAAGTAAATAATCTTATTTTCTGAGCTCCCAAGCCACAGCTATATGTACTTGCTACTAACAAAAGTTTTAAAAATCAAGTTCTTCACTTAAATGCCCACAGACAGGTTAAAGTGTCAATCTGTAGATGTCTTGCTTCTTAAAAAAAGGTATACTGCTTGTGAAAGATGATATATTATTATGCCTTTAAAAAATAGCCTGTTATTAATATTAAAAATTGACTAGAAAGCAACACATGCAACACTAATTTCCTAAGCTATTTCAGTGCTTTACTTCCCTGTTTCAAGTGCAAGTAAAAAAAAGGAAATATTGTTGGGTAAGGTGGTGTCGATGGTGCTGCCTGTCGTCTATGGTCTTTGCTGTTGGACCCATGTACCTTCAGCACTGAAACACTAATGACATATCTGGGTTGCTTATATGCAGCATAGAAGTAATTTTTATTCCCTGATGACCAAATTGTATTTTCTTACTGCAAAGTAGGTGCAGTAAGCCACTACTTGCTATGAATTTGAGAGGAGAGCTATCAATATTTGAAAAATTAGTGCAATATCAACTAGGACATGATTTTTTTCCATTGTTCTGTGGTGAAGATAGGTGAATTCAAAGGAAAAGCAAGGGTAATTTCTTTGCAAAGACTGATTATAATTTTATCCGGAAAAAAAGCCTAAAAAAAGTTTATGTTCTACTCAAAGACAAATATATTTGTGTGCAGTACATTGGCACAGCTATTAAGAATACTTTTTCATTAGAAAACTGTAATTCTGTAATGTTGCCAATATTACTAGAAAATAGTTTAATCTGCCACATAATGCAAACAACATAAGTGATATAATAAGAACAAGCTATATGTCTTAACATTCATAGAGTTGCATGCTCTGCTATCTTTTTCATTCTGAAGCTGTCCTTCAATTGTCCTGTAAGCACTTTGGGTTAGAGCCTTTTTCTGTGAATACTTACACTTTTAACTCCAGTGAGACTGACCCAGAAAAGCTTTCATAGCCATTTGCTTTATTTGAAGATAACTGTTCTAACAAAGTATGTATCACAAAGGCATCTTTAGTAGCTTTGAAATTGACTTCTCTGATCCTTAATAATGAGTGATTCAACAACTGTATTACTCTCATGGTTCATCAATTGTATTAATCTCATTTTATTATCTAAATTAAAATTTAAATAATTAAGAATAAGTTCATAAACCAACTTCTTTTTGAAGCAATTTTTTCTTTTCTATTAAAATTATGACAGCAGTACAGTAGACATTTGTATTTGTATTATAGAATACTTTTTGTAATATTTGTCAGTAAGAATGTATGATTTTTGTAGAGACAAACACATAAAAGGTGTACTTAGAGCTCTTTTGAAGGGGCACATTATCTTTTAAACTATTATTTCAAACTTTTTTGGCTTTAGACAAGCTTTGTCAATCAAGGCCATCTAAAAGTCTTCTGAGTATAGATGCTGATGTAACATCTTCATGAAACCTACTGTGGAATCAAGTTAAAGATTTAATATGTATCACAGTTTTTAAAATTGGCACACATGGAAACAGCAGTGACCATGTAAAAAATTAACATGAAACCAGGACACTATTTTTTAAAAATCTTTAGAAAAACAACCATAGCTGTGGTTTCTATAGAGGCACACCAGTAGTATGCTTCATCTGTCACTTATTTTAGATACCTGCTTAAAATGAGATTAAATCATACCTATTTCTCTTCATTGATTATAAAAGAAATCTAGAGTGACTAACTCAGAAATATGTGTCTGTGTTCAGTCACATTAATTGTATCCTTATGCTCTGAAATGGCCCTTAGAAGAATGATATTTGGTGCATAGTGTAAAATGAAGCCTGTCAATGTATAAAAAATGTTGTGCTGCAAGCATGGATTTCCCAAGTCCATATGAGCCCAGAGTACTGTAAAATGATGTGAAGAGAATGATAGAAACTACAACTACCTTATTGATATCTGCCAATACCTGAGATAAAAACTAAGCAAGACAATCAGCCAAGATATCTGAATTTGAATCCATAAGAGAAATACATCTGGTCCTTTAGTTGCTTGGTATTTAATCTAGAACCTATTAACATGTACAATATTGGTTAACTGAACTTGCTACATTTAACAAAAATCTCTGTTGCAGATTACTTAGTTATAGAAAATCCATCAAGTAAGTTTATTAAAGATTTTTATGTTGTGTTCATTGGTGAGTCTCAATGTGTGGTTCCCTCTTCTATGTTTATTAGAAAAAAACTCCAAGCTGCGTATAAATCATAAAAGCATGACTAATTGCATGGTAACTGGAGAAATGCGTTCTCTCTCTCTGGGGTGAAGCCTGCATGTCTGTGTTTTAGCTTGGGAAGTAATACAGGGATATTTAAACTCCTCACGATTTAAAAACCATGTCATTATGAGAATGAGGTCATTGCAATATTTTATAAGTCTAAAACCTTGCAATGTATAAAATGTTTTCTGTGCAACAAAGACTTATGTACTTTAGAATGCAATGATAACTTTACAAATTTACTTTAATGTCCAAACTTCACCTTGAAATGCTGTTACCTACAAAAACAATCATATGCTACAGGACTTAACATTAGCAACATAAAAAATTTTGTGAGGGGGAACAACAAGGAGAAAAAGTGTTTCTATTTTAAGTGACCAAAAGGAAATCAAATAAGCACGCTGTAAGCAATTTATAATTTTCTACCCGTAAGTATCAGTTCCTATTGAACTGAAAAACTTTGTTTATTAATAAATTGCAGTTAATAAAAAGAAGGACAAAGACATTCTCTATGGGTTTCTAAATCTTCTGTCATTACTTTCAGGCCAATAAGCAAGAAATCCTTCCTACAGCATGTTGAAGAACTTTGTACAAACAACAACCTAAAGTTTCAGGAAGAATTTTCGGTATGTTGCTAGCAGTTGTCACAACATGGCAAGACCTTCAGTCGTTTCATGTGTCACATTTCATGTCCATTTTAAGCAGACAAGGCCGTGAAGGACTCTGGCCTTGATAATCAATACCCAATTACCAGGTTGATTGTTTAGAAAGTAATATTACACTGATTTGAATTCTGCTGTCTATACTGCAACCTTGTCAGAATTATTCACCTTAGTGTCAGCAAAAGATGATCTTCTTTAGACTTCAGCCCTGGCAAGACCACCATATTTGTGCTTTTATGTGTATAGTGATGCATATATAGTTTACCTAAGAACAGATTATTCAGAGTTTTCTAACATACATACAGATGTATTTAACTGCTGTAAATATGTTCATCTTTCTGAGTGATGGTGACTCCAAAAACACAATTAGTGTTTATTCTGTGACATTTTCAGGCCCGAGTCATACTGCTATGAAACTCAGAAATGTTTTTCTTTCATGGATTTCAGTGCAGAAAATAAAAAGTTTGGTCATGATACTTTGCTTTTTGTTCCTCTTACAAATAATGCCATCCTTGTTATACTCTTGAGAATAGCTTCCATGTGAATAGCTTCCATCTCTTTATACGAGCAGATGAACACAGCAAGTCTGCCTTTCTTTATGAAAAGAGCCTTGGTTTCAAAATATACATTACAGATAATATAATGCATATATAGTTTCAAATTTATATCTCAAAGTTTTCACTATTTTCATTAAGTCATATTTTACGGCTATCATATTTTTTCTAACAATATCTTCTCGTTATTTCAGATTCTTTATCATCATTATCTTTTAACACATATAGTGTTATTTGCCCTCCCAAAAAAAATTTGTCAGTGTCCAGTGGTTTTATTATTTTGGATTTTAAAATTTATCATTAGTTGCTTACCATTTGGATTTACAAAAATGAGGACTTAACAATTGGCTTTTCTTCTGCTCGATTATAATATTTCAGTTTATGAGGGAACACTAACAAAAGTGTTTAAAGATTAATGGTATTTCCTACAGCTTTTTTGTTATGCTCATTAGGTAAAATTGGTCTGGATTTAATAATAAAAATCACCATAAAATTCTCTGAGAAAGAAAGTAAGAACTTTTTTGTTCTGAAAGTAGAAGTGTTATTTCACTTGAACAAGAATGATTATAGTTACACTATGCATGACTGAACAGATGAAAGGTTTTACTAGCAATAGCGTTTTCACATATTAACATTCATTACTGGAAAGTTTCTAGTATTACTTTCTTTAGGTGTGACCCACAGTGAGTAAGCCTTACGGCATTGTAATGCCTTAAATCTTAAACAATAGTGTTTTATCAAATCAAAATCTTTGTATTCCATTTAAAATTTAGAGAAATATAAGAAACCGAGGCCTCATTCAGTAAGTTATAGAGTCAACTTATAATAAATGGGTTTATATGCCATTTAGACTTCCAGTAGTTTTTCTCTCTGAGCTTCAGCTTCCATGTTTCAGAGTGTAGTGAAATCTTCCCAAATGACTTGCCCAAAGGCAGGCAGAATTTCCAAGTGGGTTCAGTCCATGATTCAGAATGTATCTATAGTATTTGCAGCACATCTTAACAGATGAATAATAGGATTGACAGCGCACTTGAAACAACATCAGAAATGACAATGCTCAGAAACAGGCAATGCACACAACAAACAATCAGACCTCATGATCTGCATTGTTTCTATCCACAAAAAACATGGGTTTGAGTTTTCCAGCATAAATTTAGCTCTTTCCATTTCACTTAGTCTTGGAATCCGGGGACATTTCTGGTTTCGTCTAATCTGCTGGATTGACCAAACTGCTGTACCAGAAGATCTCTAGCATTCAGTCTCGGTTACATGGGAACAAGACCTTTGTGTAAACATGATGAGAAGAGAATCAAGACCTCAGAATGGATCTGGATCCATGCCTTGTCAGAAAAGACAAGTTTAAAGAAACCATAGGGAGCCAAAGGGTGATGGGCACCACCCAGCTGCTATTCAAACTTCCAGCTTTCCAGCTGATTCATGTGGCTCTCAATACCTTTGAGAAATTAAGCTTTTCTAGTAACTGGCAAATTACTGAAACATAAATGCTTATATAATTGTTTTATGATGAGTTCTGTTCATGAATAAAAAAGCGAAATACCTCCAAATGTATGACGACAGAGTGCCATAAAAGTACTACAGTAAACAAAATGCAAATTAATTATTTCAAAGTTTTCTGAGTCTGCAAAGAAATATGATTTCTGTGACAAGTTGTTATTGAATCTGGAAACCCAAATAGTCTTTCCCCTATTCTGAAATTAATAATTTAGACTGAAATCCATATTGATGCAGAGAATTGGTATGAGGCATTTGAGCACTTGTTCAGAAATGAAAACCTAGTTATGAAAATAACATAATCTGCTTCTCTATTTCTTCTCTACTACAAAATGCTGTCCAGAAATGCTACTTCTGTACTAATTAACTGAAGAACTAGGACTTGGAGGAGTGAGGCAAATGAGGCAAGTTAAAGTTCACATGATATGGAATTCCATGGCCCAAAACACCTGCAAAATGCCATAGGCATTTTGTATATGTCCTTCCTTCATGCAAAATTCAATGACAGAAATTATGTGTAAGAGTTTCAGCTTTCTGAATAAGAGGAATTTTAACATCTCCACCCTTAGCTGTGTATTACAGATATGGCTGACAGAATACTTGAATTAGCAATGAAAAAAAACCCAACAGAATAAAACTCTGCTGGTTTTCCATTTTTCATTACCTGTCTCATTTATTTATTTACCAATACTTTACTTACTAGTAATTAAAATTTTTATAAAAGACAAACTGTCTCAAATACCTGAGAAAAACCACTTGAAAACAATTAACATTGAACCTGATAGTAGTGCTATCTGCCCCACTTTTGGAAGAAGCCCATACAGAGGGCTTCTTTTATACCTTTTATATTAGAAGACAAATTTGAAAGGAATTTTGAAGGGGTTACTTAACACAAGCAGCAAAATTTTCTATTGTGCTCATTTAAAGCAATCTTCTCCAAATCCAATTTCTTAACTTGGATGTTGAAACAGGTCTTCCATATAACATTTGTCAAACAAAGGGAAAAATGTATTGCAGGTAATGACATATTTGAAATCCTGGCTTTTCTGGGTTTTCTATTCTCCTAACACCACTATGAGATCATCACATCAATACAGTTTCTGCATTAACAAGTCTCCACTGTTTTAATCAATTTGGGAAATTATACCTATTTATGCACACGAATGTACCCATCAAATGAGTTCTTCAATATGAATGATTTATCCAACTCTGTCCTTCCAAATAGAACTAATCACCAGTTATGAAACTGCAGTCCAACCCAAAATAACTCTTCCTACCTGTTTCGCAAACAGTCCTATGAACAATAGCTAATTGCCAGTTGTCTCAAGTTAATTAAATTCTCATCAGTTCTCATGCTGTGGCAAGAACTGCCCCAAGCACAGGAGTCAGGAAAAGGCATTATTTAGGACTGAGTCAGTAGAGCAAGGTAACCAAGCATGTGACTTCATGAAAAAAAACAGAAAAGAACTACAAAAGGTGATAGACTGACTTTATCCAGGCTTGTAAAGGTGAAAGTTCATGTAAGCTTTAATTGTTCATCTTGACAACATTGTCTGCAGTGCTACATCTAACATTGCTGGTGTAACTGGTGTTGACAGCGAAGGCAGAATGCTCTGTAATGCTTCCAGTTGTTCCTAGAAATGCACTCTGTTACTATAGAATTTTTCCTCTTACTGAATGATTGTGCCATGTTTTAAATTCACTTAAGGGCAAAAGTTTTCCAACAAACACTTATTCCTCTACAGGAACTTCCCAAGTTTCTTGAAGACCTTGCTTCAACTGATGCTGATCTGCCTTGGAACAGGTCTAAGAATCGTTTCCCCAACATAAAGCCATGTACGTGAGTCTACTGATCAACTTCCCCATTTTGCTCTTTACTTTCAATAGTGCAGCATATATTTGGAATGCAAGTGGTTTTTTGTTTGATCTGCTGTTGAAATGGCAGTTCAATCATGTCCACATTATGAAATAATTTTCTGTCAAGTAATATATCTTTTCTTTGTGTTTTTTAAAGACAGTTTTATTTGCAAGTAGCTTTAAACTTGCTCTCACAAGCTTTAATATGCAGGTGCAAGAAACTGTAGCCTTAATAGTTTCTTAGCTTTGTAATTTAAGCCATGTAGCAAACTTTCTACCATTCTTGCTCATTGGATTTTTTTCCCCTTTAGTAAGAAGTAATTTTTTTAAACATATAAAATCCACATTTATGCATTTAGCCACCTCAGGGGCCTGGGTATGCTTTCTTGTGGATATGTGTACATGTGCTACAAAGGTTCCACAGAAGATCAGAGTGACTGTATGATAACTTATAAGCCCAGGCTAGATATTATCACAGGAGACAGGAGTCTGTCTCTCTATACTCAACACTGCTTCATTTTTCAGTTAATAAGACAAGAAATGTCATTATTATTTTAGGCATTAGCTGTGATGTGAGATGGAGTGCATGGCATTCCTTGGTTAATAATGCTACATTCTGTGCTATTAACTTTTCAGAGCAGCTGTTTCTGCTACCTACTGCCTTGTTCAAGACAATACTCTAAGTTACAGTCACTAAAAATTTCTATTCATGAAACACGATGAAATACAGACAAGATTCATGAATCTTTAACTTTGTATTCTAATTTGTTTTTAACTAAGTTGAGGATCAAACATGAAAATTTTGGTATTTCATGTATGACATGTTTCTGCGTATGTACCATGGGACCAAATCAGAAACCCTCAGTTTGTTTTTTTTTTAATAACGAGTTTACCTCATGTAAAATAAATAAAATTATGTAAAAATGCCAGGATCTGGCTCAAATCTGTGACCTGAGCAGCAAGTACATAGAAAAAACTGTCAGATCCCTGCCCCTGCTGTCTGATTCACATAGAAGTTGTGTGTGCTAGAACAACATGGCTCTTAGTACCCAGGCTACTTTTAGGCAGAGAATACTCCCACACGTACATCACATTGAAGGTTTTGGCACACTGACCATTTAAATTAAGAAGTATTATATAAAACATGCCTGGAACATTAAAGAATGACAATACAGTAATGGAAATAGGTTGAATTACCTTTGTAATTAGTGTTCTGCTATGTCAAATATTGTTATATCAGCAACAATAACAGTATTTTTTATTTATTAGCATTCCAGGAACACTTATTATTACATATTTCTATGTTTTTTGAACAAATCTCTCGGTTAACTAGACTTTATTTCCATGATAGATAATAACAACAGAGTAAAACTGATGCCTGACGCTGGTATTCCTGGATCTGACTACATTAATGCCAGCTATGTGTCTGTAAGTAGAAAGTCTCTCATATTTTTAATATGTTTGTTTTCTGGTAGAAGAGAGAGTTAAAAAATAACTTGCAAGAAGAACAGAATTCTAATTTTTCTTTCATTTACTACAACCACTGTTGCCATGGCATTTTCCACTGTGGCACTGAGCATGACTAGTTAAAAATACACATTATTGTATTTTCATTGCTAAACAATGATTTCCAGTAAGAATCAAAACTGTGTCCAGCAAATTGCTTTTTATAAATTGTCTCATACCATTATCATTAAAGACAATAGTGAAACTCCCACAGAGGTCAATTGTTTAGACAGGTGTTATTTGATTTCTTGGTTCAGGAGTTAGAGTTGTTTTATATGAACAGGACAATGTAAAGATAAACTGAAAACTTTTACAGAAATTGCTCGTAGTTTTGGCATGACCCTTATGGAGGAAAATGCAAATAGGCTTCTTGAGGAAGAAACTGATAATGTATTTCTCATCCTCGGCTTTCTTCCTAGACGTTTCATTTTCTTATTATGTACTCAGTAAATTCTTTATCTATATTTTTACCTGATTTTTTGTCCTGTTGAAGCTCAAAGTGTGAATTATAATTATGCATTTAATTTCTTTTAGCAGTGGCTGGGGATCTCACATGAGGTCAAGACTTGATTTGCATTACACATTTTTCAAACACATAGCAAGACGTACAGACGGTAGTCTAAACTGATAACACAATGGCAAGTAGAAATAGTTATTTCCAGGTAAATGAAAGACATTCACAGAGAATAAGCAATAGAGCTGAGAGCATCTTCCTTTCTCATTAAAAAATGCTGTTTATTCCCTTTATATGGAATATCTTTGTTCTGACAGTTAGCAGATAGGAAGAACCATGCCACTTGATGCTGGGACTATACACAGAAAAACTGAGAAGGCAAACAGACAGCTTGGAGCATGGCCTAGTCTTTACCGTTTCTATCACTACCTGACACGTCATGTCTTATGCAGGGAACATGAACAGCAACTTCCAAAAAGCTGCAGCAAAAGCCAGTTACAGAGAGTGTTCCCTGCTGAGATTTTGCTGGTCCTTACTGCATACAGGCATCTCATTTTGGGACACAATTCATCAGTGAATAGACAACTCTGGTGTTGCCATTTCTCAAGGCTAAAGCTTTGCCCTTTAAATGCTCTCCGTATTTGTAGATGTGTAAATATATAAATGCATATAGCTGAACCTCTGCAATATGTGTATGTATGTTTTTACATATCTAGTTATTTAGGTGTATGCTCGCAGGATTACTCTAGAGGAGAAAAGACAACGCAGAAAGAATTGTGCCTTGCAGAATATATCTCCTAAGGAGTCTTTCTGCTGTGCTTTCTGCAACTGGACGTGTCTATCTCGTATTGGCCTTTTTAGCCACCAACGCGCTTGTAACAAACGTGGGTAGAGCCCTCCCCAAATCTTCGTTGGCGAAGCCTAGCCATGATATACATATGCACAAATATAAAGAGAGGAAAGGAGAAGTCTTGTATATAGTTTTAACAAATGGGAACTCTGCTGCTACTTTTATTTTCATTGGTTAAACAAGAAAAAGTCAGTAACTGAACTGTGAGCTTTGCATCCCTGAATCATAGTTTCTCACCTCACTCTCAAATTGGGGAGGATTAACATAGTTTCCCATTTCCACCTGTTCTTTATATTATAGATGGAGTAAGTAACAGGCAGCTGTGAATTATAGGGCTATAATTCCAATAAGGAGCTTCGATGGTGCTATAAACCACTGTGTCAGTTGTTTTGAGCAATAAGCAGAACTCTGTGATATTATAAACTGCTAGTACTACAGCATAAATTTATTGTTATTATTGTTATTATTTTACTTTCTGTAATACATAATAGTTCCTCTATGTATGCTTTGTTTCTTTGAGGAAACAGATCCAAGTGAAACCACGCACTGACAGCACTTGCACAGATTTTTTTTCAACAAACTTTCTCCCAAGTTTTACATCAATTTAAAAATGAATTAAACAGTAGAAGACAACACCAAAATAAAAGTCAATGTCTACAGTAGGTTTCTCAAATAGCTTTTACCAAAGATCATTTCTTTGAGTAAGCTCCAGCCCTAAGTTACAGCAGATCCCTGATGAGCACAAGAAGAACAAGGTCATCAGTGGGGTGTATCTTGCACTAGCTCTCAGACTGCTCCTTAGTTGTTTCCCTGGTTCCACTGCTCCTTAGCACTATGTTGGCCACCTCTTGACACAGTTCTTGGTGGACTCTGCCTAGATCTGCAGGAAGGCTAGTATGAAGGCTTAGATACTTTTAAATGGGAATTGATGACCTGATATCCCTGTTAAATGCATTTCTATTAGCATGGCATTCCCCTATGTCTGACTAGGTTTTAGCCTTAGGCATGACAGATACAGGCACAACTATGAGTCACATGCAAGCTCCTTTTTTTCTTTGCCAACAATTATGTGTAAAATGTTTTCTTTTTCTTAGGGTTATTTATGCCCAAATGAGTTTATTGCAACTCAGGGACCGTTACCAGGAACGGTGGGCGATTTCTGGAGAATGGTGTGGGAGACAAGAGCTAAAACACTTGTGATGCTTACACAATGTTTTGAAAAAGGACGTGTAAGTTACCAGAGTACCAATTAAAAGCATTTGATATAAGTGGAAATTCTGTATGTAGTTTCTGTCAAGATTATAACACAATAATGTTAATTAATTAGTAATCATCTCCCCGCAGATAAGATGTCATCAATACTGGCCAGAAGATAATAAACCAGTGACTGTGTTTGGGGATATAGTGATTACTAAATTGATGGAAGATATTCAAATAGACTGGACCATCAGAGATCTAAAAATTGAAAGGGTAAGCCAGAACTGGAAGTTGATTTTATAAAATCCACCCCAAGAATATCAAATGTGCTCCATCCCACCCAACTACCCCCTCAGTATTCTTCTTTTAATCTTTTAATGCATATACGCTGTACTACCTCGTTGTCCTGCACTTTGTTCTCATTCATGTTTTATTTCCTGAGAATTTCTATCACAAAGAAGTCAGACATCCTTCTGACAAGCTTTGAAGGGCCTATCAGGGTTACTGAAACTCTGATATGGTGGGAGGTGAGGTTTCTACTTGGGCACCTCAATTGTCTCTTCTAGAAAGGAGTAATCCTAACCATTCTGGAATCAGACAAATCCCTTTGAATATATCCCTCTCAGATTAAAGGGAAAGATTCTCTGGTGCAGCTGTTTTGCATTGTACCACCAGCCGTTTTGACCCCCACCCCCAGGAGATGCACCCAATATAAATGAGTATCATCAGTATTACTCCCACTCTGTAATGGGAAGTGAGGGTAGGGCTGCAGCGTAGATCTGTGACTATAGTTTCCACTCTTTGGGAAAATTACTACCCAGCATTAAGTCAGAGCAGCAGGTAGGCTCAGTAACAGTCTGGGAATAATGACCCAAGATTAAGTCAGCCTTTTTATGCACCCCCAACCTTGATCTGTGTTGTACATAGTGCAACCAGATCCTAAGAACTGAACTTGGCTATCCAACTGCACGTATCACCATTCTGTGGCATGTGCATGTGACAAAAGGCACACAGGGGTTAAGGGATTGTCTCAGTGGTCACCCAATAAGGATATACTGTGCACATAGTACAGGGTAGTTGAACATTTAAAAATGATTGGGAGAAGATAAATCTTTTTTCAGCTAAAATAGAACATAGAGTAAACAAGACTAGAAAAGGGACTATTAAAAGTGCATGCCAGCAAAATGTGAAGTCGTCTGTGTTAACCAGGGAGAGGCTGAGAAGACAATCTGACTTGACTAGGTGATCCATTTACTATAGGTGAACTACCCTGCACAAGAAGTTATGCCCTTTACAAGCATGTCATTAAATGTGCCATATTTCTGGTTTTAAGATTGTACTTCATCTTCCCTTCACAAATGGGTGGATTCTTCATGATCCTCCACTGAAGGTAAAAAGCATATGTGAGGCAAATAACTCAAAATTATTGCCATATTGCATCTCTTTAATTTTTATGTTGATCAATTAAAAAAAAAGCATAGACATGAAGTAGTTTCTACACATAATTACTCACAGTTGTTCAGTGTTTCTTGCAATATGAAAGGAGCAAGTGATTGATTCAAAAGAAATTTAAAAAAAATAGGAACTGCCTCATTACACAACAGTTTATTAAACTGTGTTACTCCTTGCTACAGGATATTGTGAATGCTAAAAACTTACAGGGCTTCAAAAAATCTTCATAATTTAGTAGAAGAAAATTCTGACAAGTACTTTTAAATTTTGAGATACTGTCTCTGGCTAAATTCACAAGTCACAAACTACTAAGGATATTCTGGGGAACTATAAATACATTGTTGTAGTGTTTTATAATGTTCCTTAATATTTTTCCTTAACCACTGTTGGAAACATGATATTGATCTTGACAGGCCTTTGGCATAATCCTGTTTGTTCATTTTTATGTCCTTCATAAATGATTTAGATATCTGCTCTTTTCTTTAGGTTGCTCTTGCTGCTGCTCTGATTGAGAGGGCATCAAACACTTAGAAAATATATCAGTGTTTACCAGTGTATGTGTGTTTACCTTCACTACACCGGATCAGTCTTGGAGTGGTTGCTTTTTCCTAAACAAATTTCTCATTCCAGTTCACTAATCTTCTAAACGAGCCATAGAAATTTCAACCTTCAATCTAAAAATTAGATTGATATAGTGACTGAAGTCAAATGGATGGTGACTGCCAAAGTCATTAATAGTTCCTGAAAGATGCACTTGATACCATCTCAAAAAAACCCCACCTGCCATAAGTTCTGTGCACAAATTATTCCTTCATGCCAGTACATCTTATAATTATTATGCTATTCTGACTATTTTTTACATGAAATTTTTGAGAAGACTATATGTAACTTACTGAACCTTCTGTAACATTTCTTCTGTAAAAATTACATTATTTTATATTTTTCAGCATGGAGACTGCATGACAGTGCGGCAGTGTAACTTTACTTCTTGGCCAGAACACGGAGTCCCTGAAACAACTGCACCAATTATCCATTTTGTAAAACTTATCCGTGCAAGTCGAGCACATGATAACACACCAATGGTGGTTCACTGTAGGTAAGCACATTCATCAAATCATTGTTTAGTGTCTTAGAATGTCAAGTGCATATTAAAGTGCAGGGAAGTTGCCAGAAGAAAAACAATGAAGACTGAGTGCACAGATATGGTTCTAGTATGGACAACAATGAAGTTTCTCTAGCAGTTCTTAGTCCTTTCTGGGAGGTAAAATGCCAAAGTGTGTCTGTTCTTTCATTCATGGAAATCCATTGAGGTGATGTTAGTGAAATTATTGCTTCAACAATTACCATAAGGTACTCCTGGATTTATCTCTGTTTTCCTCTTTAACCATAAGAATAGGAATAGCAATGGCATGTGTTTATTTGGCATGTGTTTATTTAAATTACTTCTATTATGATTAGAGCTCTTCTTAACAAATAAGTATTAAAAATGTATTTATAATGTACATGTCACATATCATAAGGAAGAAACTATTTGGAAACCACAGAGAATGACAAATAGGAATAAAGAAAAGCTCGCTTTGGTGCCACAAATCTCTGCCCTAACTACCCACTTTATCATGCATGGGAGTTCTTTTTTTCTGTCCTCGGTGTCCTAAGGGTGCCACCCATGATGGATGGTAAAACCTCATTTATTAGATATCATCTTTGACAGACATTTGCCTATACTGCAAGGGCCAGAGAGACTATTACTGGAGAGAACAACACACTCTTCATGTTTTCAGACCACTGGCATTCTCTGGAATCCCTCTGCAATGAATCCTATCCTGTTTTCAGAACGCAGATATGTAAAGGGGCCACCATGGGCCAGATACTCCACCTGTGCTCAAATTCCTAATGCTTATAAAACTTCATTATGTGTTCTCATATCCAGAGAACTCATTTATTGCTTTCTGGTCATTAGTCTTGCAAGTTCAAGAGTTTTGCTATACATCTCCTGATTATCTGCAGTGATATACCCTTCATTTATTATACCAGTTGCAGAGAAGTCTGATAGTGATTTTCAGAAAATCTTGTTCATTATGAAGTCTTTAAATAAAACACTAGCTAGCAGCATGTCTTGCACACTTATCCTCCTTTTAGAAGTATTTCCTTTAAAATGTTTTGCTAGATCCCATGTAGTTTTGTGTCAAATACCAAAAGTATCTCAGAATCCAAGTGTGATTTCGCAAAATCTTATCACTTTTTTCTTTCCATTAGTGAGCTCTGGAAAACTCACACAAAAGCTGTAGAATCTTTTTTCCACTTTAACAGGTTTGGTTTAGTTATATTTCATTTGTCTGATGCAACCGCTTTGTAGAATCAAAATCAGAACATGGCTCAAATCAAGATGGCTCGAGATTTCACTTTATTCCATTCAGCAAGGAGACACACACATCACAAAATGTAAATACTGAAAAAAGATTTAGGAGTTTTTTCCGAAGTTTTCTTTTCTCAATAAACTTAATTTATCTAGAATATTCTATGAAAATACGAAAAGCATTAACATAAAGGCTTTATTTTATCTTGTGTATCATGTTTGCAGTGCTGGCGTTGGAAGAACAGGTGTTTATATTGCACTTGACCATTTAACTCAACACATAAATGACCATGATTTTGTGGATATCTATGGACTTGTAGCTGAGCTAAGAAGTGAAAGAATGTGTATGGTACAGAATCTGGTAAGATTTATCTATTTTGTTTTCCTGTTGTTAACAAGTCAATCATCTCATCTCCTGATCTACAAACAAGACTAGAAAGCTCATAATAATCAGCTGTATAAAACATTTTCTACCAAATCCTGCTTATATTTATTTCAAACAATGTGCAGATATATGGTCTGTATCTATTTAAGTATATTTGGCCAGCAAGGTCTTGACAAGTGCTGAAAAGAGTGATATTTAGACTTTAGAACTTAGAAATTTCTCAGTATTTGAGAAAGTTTATTTTAAGTTTTGGGTGAAGAACAGTTGTTAATATAAAATTGATTTGCTCATTCATTGACTTTATTTACTACTTAAATGTAATTTTTTTGTGTATGGATATGTGGCATAGTCCTCTAAAGTTTTAAATATTTATTTACCACTGAACTCATTATTGATTCCTTGATTCTGTTTCAGTTGCATCAAATAAAATAGCACATATGGATAGATTTAAGCACAGACTTCAGTGTTCAAAATCAAGGCAATGGTGGGTTTAGGGTCTAAAAAAGTACATTTCTGGCAGATTTATTCAGTATAGATATAAGTTTGTGATGAACTGCTGGTGAGGAAGACCTCTGCTATATCTGGAATTCTGAGTATATGTAAAGGAGTAATAGAAGAATTTAAAGCTGATCCTAAATGTCCAGTGGAACAGAAATTAGCTGTGTTTGCATAAGGCTTCTGGCACAAGTCTACTGCAGACCAGATCTAATCCACGACCTGAAGCCTTTAAGTCTACAGAACAACTCACTACCTTCTCAGTATGGATGAGTAGCTTCAGGATGAACCTCCTCATAACTGATGGATTTAAAGTGAATTTAATGTAAGGAGACTTGCTCCACTGGGAATGCAATTCTGCTATTCCTTATCACTGCAGAATATATGAAAAATGTGTCAGAATATACAAAGCAGTTAACCTCTCTTCAATAACTGCACTTCAGAAGATTTTGCAAGACCTCCTGGTGATACTGTGCCATGATATATCTTGTAAGGTGCAGTCTGATTACCATTTGCTTTAAATTTTTCTGTTTGAAGTCTTGATGAAACTAAACAATTGCCAGGACTTTCTTGTGATGATGAATCCTGGGAATGCTGTTTGGTTGTTGTTTTACACTTTTGACTAGAAGTAGAATCATCTGAAAATAAATCAAAGGCTAGAAGAACATTTAATGTGAGCACTCCCAAAATAAAATATTTAAATGGTAAGACATTAGATAAGATCAATGTACGTTTTTAAAATATGTATAATTTTTGTATATCTCTTCATGTGCATATTTGGGCGGGGACTAGGAAAAGGTGTGCCAAAATGCTATACAAGATGATGGTGTCATAGTTCTGATTTCCTAACGGATCAAGTATCAATTTATATGCTAGTTGCAAAAGTCTGAAACAGGTTGTTCTCTGTCCAGGTCATTTCTAGCTCATGTTTACAAGACTACAAAAGTCAGATCAGCAACAAAACTTGCCCAAAGGGAATCAATCTTGTAAAGTTTTATGGTGGATTGCTATTCTGAGAATTCTGTTATAAAATACTGTTGAGTTGCCTATTAATCAGATTTTATGTGATCAGCACAAAAGATATAAAGAGAGGAGCAATTCCTTCCCAGAGCTCAGTTTAGAGATCCATCAGTCAAACTGTCTGTAAAATCTATGGGTAAAATAAGTAAAAACTGCTTGTTCTCAGACCTGTATTTTGCTTGTTTATAGCTTCAAAATAGTTTTTCTTTTGCCAACAGTCACGATCTGTTACTGTAGCCAATGGATGCAGAATAGTTAAGAATGTCATTGATTCTAACTGGGAAAAAAACTTGTTACACATACATTGCCCAGGTAGCCTCTCCCCTGGCAAACTCAGAAAATTTTCATTGCTACATCAGAGGCAGCTGTATGAATACAAAAGATTACAGAGCTTTCAGAGTCTGCCTTCTGAACTGGAATAACTAATCTAAACTCCACTGAAACTTCAGACCTTCATTCTAGAAATCCATATTTGTCCAACAGACATGTTAAAGTTTATCTTGTTGCCAAGTACAAAGGCTAATTTGTACAAAGTAATGCCATGCTACTACTTTAGTAAGAAAGCTATTGAAAAGTGTAATGGTACCGTGTGCTTCAGGGGCTTATGAAAGACTTTTAATTACCCACAGCTCTGGAACTGTGAGCATAAAACATATCTGTGTAAGCAATTTCTCTTATACATCTGAGACACTTGACTTGAAAACTGATGGCAGTTCTGAAACAAAATGTCAATTATTGAGCAAAAAAATTACTTATTTTTACCTGGGCAAAAGTCAACGATAACAAAGTGATTTTGGTAGAGATATTCCATATCTGTCTTGACAAGGTTCTGGGAAACATATTTTAGCTGACACAGCTTGAGCAGTGGGTAGTTGCACTAGATATCTCAAGAGGCCTCTTCCAACTGGAACAAATCTCTGATACTGTGATCTGGTTTGTTTTCTGCATCTACATATACAATACTTCTCCTATGTGAAGATATACTTAATCTATTTATTATATTTCTATCTATTTTCATTCCTTTATTTCATTCTTGCATTGCCTTATTTTGTTCTTCTCTTTTCAGACTTTATGTCCTTGGAAGTGTCAAATTAACTTTAGTTGCCCATACTTTGCATTATAATCTGTTAAAAATGTGGCTACAGTTCAAGAAGTATCACTAAAAATACTGTGGGTTTTTTTGCTCCTAGCAATGATGCATGCTCCTAGAACATAAAAGTTTAGCTTTACTCGAACTTCTGCATTTGAGTGCACCCTGCTGGTTTTCTCTGTGCTATAAAGAGGGGAATTTTCTTATCTAAATATTACATTCATATGGTTCAGTTTCTTCAGTCTGAATCTAGTGGCAAAAAGTCTTTTCATAGAACGAACCTTCACAGAAAATTGTGGAATAGCTTATTAGTCTCAGTTATGGCTAGTGTAATTTCATATATCTTACTGTGCATAAGGATTAATATGTTTTGACAAATTTTAAAGCATTATGCTTCATAATGAATGAAATCAGATCAGGCATATATGATATGGTCACTGAAGTACTGAGATTGCTGAGTTAAACTGCAGTTACTTTGAGAATATCTAGATGTTATAAAAAAGTAAAAGACTTTTTGGTATTAGAAATACATCTAATCAAGCATCTTTAAATTTACATCTTACAGGCACAATATATATTTTTGCATCAATGCGTATTGGATCTGTTGACAAGCAAGGGAAGTAGTCAGCCCATATGTTTTGTAAATTATTCAGCACTGCAAAAGATGGACTCTCTGGATGCCATGGAAGGTAAGGAGATACAAACTGTCTCAAAATCATTTTTTCATAGACTTTTCCAGATTAAGAAGCAGGAAAAAAGTACTTTGACATCCATTTTTTGGCTTCAAAAATGTAAATTTCTAACATTTTGCTGCTCTTTAGTCTTCCTCATAGTAATAGCCATTGTTCAATCTTTCCACTTCTTTTTCCCTGCAAGATCTTTTAAATTCAGCCAAAAATAGTTATCTGCCGTTAGTTAGTACTTGTTTACAATGTAGGTTAATGTAATGTATCTGTTTCTTTTGTAGGTGATGTGGAGCTTGAATGGGAAGAAACTACCATGTAAATACTAAGAGTAAACATGAAAGAAAATGAGATTTTGAAAATTAGTCATATTTTTCTAAGCACAGGGGCCAAAGTGAATTCCCCTATTTTGATGATTAAAGCAAACGCAGATGATCAAAGCATCTTCTCCTCTATCAATGTGCCTTCATAAGTTGAAGTATTTTATTCAGAACACTGAGCAATAATGATTAGGAGTACTCTTGCACAGACTGCACTTCTGGTGTTATATGAATAGTGCACTCAGTATGTATAAAGTGTGTTTGAACATATTCCTTTTTTTCTGATTATCTTTGTAAAAGAAAAATGAGCCAAATAAGATGTAAAAATATCATATTCCCGTTGAACTTTTTTTGGTGTGAATTTGATGTGTTCTGCATGTTTTGGTTTTAAGTAAAAGCTACAGTTTCTTGAATCATTCTTGCTAGATTGGCTTCAGTGTTGTCAGCTCTTGCAGATTAATTCCAATACCATCATAATGATCTTTACATAACTGTATGCTCTGGTGTTTTGAATATTTTTTTTACAAGTGGTAGCATATCAGCTCATGATCCTGAACAGCTGAAGAGTCACCTTCTGACATGGAAAGGATTATTCAACTCTTACACAGCACACAGTAGCTCTTCAGGGACACTTGGGGCTATTTAAGCTATTTAATAATCAGCAGGTTGTTTTTTTAAATATATAATGGTGATTGCATATGTTCGATGCAGAAGAAAGTATTTAACATTCCTGCTACTTTTTCAAACAGATAAAACAAAGTAAAACTATAAATCTATTATCTATTACAAAGAATTTTAGATTGACTTATGTAAAAGAATGTCTAGAATTCATTCACATTTCTTGAATATAATACTATTCAGTATTTCAAAAGATTGCTCAAAATGTAATGTCAAGATATTTTATGACAGTGTTGTCAAGTAAAAATGTTCTTGCTCCTTCCTCAGGCTTGGCATCACTGTAGACACTGAAAATTATGGGAACTAATATTTGGAGATTTAATAAAAGGAAACATCTTCCACTTCCACTAATGATGATGATTATTATTATTATTATTTATTATTATTGGAAAGAGATCTGAAACAGGAATGAGAGAAGCGGGAGCTCTTATCAGAGAAGCAGAGCAAAAATATGTAGAGTAGGAAGACTAGAGAGATAATTAAACTGTGTGCCCTAGTTTTGCATGGAAGTGACAGTATTCAATTGATATTAGTGGGGGGAAGGGTTGATTGCTAAGTTTTTCTCTGTGTAAAGAAATGTATCATCATTCTGAATAACACTGAAACTGTGACCTTAATCTGAGTGCAAAACATAATAGCAAAAAGACTTCAGAGCTGCCATCTTATATTATGTTTAGACAGAAAAAATCAAAGATGCCTTATTGAGGCATCAAGCTAAGAGAAGTCAGGAAAAACCTCTTTAGAACCTTGAAATATGTATGTGAGGAGCTGTGTTTGCATGCACACACTCTGAACGGAAGAGTAAATGAACAAATCTTTCCATTTCTTGACTGTAGCTACCAGATGAAAATGGTATGCAATGTGTAACCTGATACTTTTCAGAAGAAAACGATAGTAGGTGTTTTTAGAAGCTGGCGAGATTGGTACAGTGAAGACCCTTTGTAATTTAACAGAAAGTGCTAAATATCTAGAACGAAAATCAAAAGACAGTGTTTAAGGAGGTGGAAGTGGTCTACGAAGATATTTGGGCAATCTGTCTTTTAGGAAGATTGACGGTATTGTAAACATCACCTGTCAAGCTGAAAAGTAAACAATGCCTTTTAAAGCTGGATAGAGCAAGAGAGAGGTGATGTCCACAGCTGTTCAAGTCTCTGGCAAAGCATTCGGAGCTCTAGTTTCATTTGGCTCCTATGAAACACGTGTTCTTCATTTATTATACATGTACTTTAGAGTATTCTGACAAATTGCTTATAGGGACTTACAGATGTTTTTCATCATTTGTAGTTGTACTTGGTAGCAGTACATGCTATGATAAATTTACACTATAGAGTCATAATCTTTCATAATTTTATATCCACAATAGTGGAATATCTGTATGTGTGTCATTTCTCTTTTGATTGGAGGAAAAATCTAGGAAGCCTTATGCAACTTACAGTTGAGCTCCAGAAGTTTCAAATGTGCTTAAGTGTTTTCTGTTTTTTATAAAATACTTAATGATGAAGACTCCTGTATACTCCTTTAGGGAACCTACCTGTGGTCAGACATTGCACTTGGTAGTCTGGTGGTCTGACAACTTAGTAAGAGACTAGAAAATGTGTGTTTCTTTGCTGTAGAGGCAAAGCAAAAGCTGAAAAGTAATTCAAGTAGTTTACTGTACCATTTGATGTAAGCAATCTCGTGTGTTCTACCTTGATACATTTTGCATTGTCTTCAGGGTAAAAGACAATATTCAGCATAAAGTGGCCACAACTCATAAGATATATGGTCAGGGAAAGAAATATCTCCAAGCAACTCTCTCCAAGAATTGGTTTTCAGTATAAACATAGCAGTAGTTCACTGACCTTCTTGTGTGTCTGCCAATGCTTTACAGGGGTAGGAGAGCATCTATATATCAGAAAATTCCTCCAGACCTTGGTGCAGTCATGAAGAAAGAATTTCCACAGTCTCTTGTCTTTCATCCCTCCTCCTTCCCTTATGCAATGACAGCTATGGTGGTTCTACTGACAGCACTGTAGAGCTGGAGGCAAGCAATTTCTCTTTTGAGAGTATGGGTATATAAATAAAGCAGCACACCAATTCATTTTTAATATCATCACTCGATTTTCTACAAATTCTTGGCATTACTAATATATCAAGAGTGTACTCTATCAAAATTAGAAAAGGAATAAATAAAAATTGGAGAAAAATTCAGAAATTCTGTAGGATGATTCAGAGATTCTCTAGGATTGTTGAAATTGTATTGAAACTAAGTCATACTGTATTAAATTATCTGGGCAACTTCTAGAGACTGATATATCTCCATACACAGAAGAAGCAGTGTTAATATATGTATTTATAGCCAGTTCTGCTGGACATCATTACGAGAGGCTACTGTCAGTGTCCTTAAAAACTAATCTGTTCTGTTCACAAAGGTAACAGAAAGACAGCAGAACACCACATTCATGTTGAATTTTAATCACTTCTTATATTGTTAAAAGAGCTGATAGAAATAATTGTGCAAAGTTGTGATTTTACTGTATATATGGAGCTATTCAGTAATTAAATTCATAACATTATGTGAAAGATTAATAACATGAATTAATCTGTGTAAAACCCTCTGTGTACTGCTGTAATACAGAGTATGCTCATAAGCAGTTGCTAAGATAAAGCAGGAAAGAGTAATGAGTCAATCATATTTTATACTAAGGTAACAAGACAGGGAGATTTCTTGGTTGAATACAGAAATCACAAAGCATCCTAGATCTGAACATGAATTTGCAGAGATTCAGGACACAGAGTCCTGCAAAATCTGTAAACAGAAAAGATTTTCTCTGAAAATATTTTGACAGCAAGTTACAACAAAATTTGAGATGTACCTGTTTCAGAGGGTATTACATGTGTGTTATAACACAACATCATTGTCTATCCATGGAAACAAATGATAAAAATAGATACAAATTAATTTCTATTTTAAGACCTATGAAAAGTAACCAGTTAGCTCTCCGGTTTAGAGGATATGCATATGATAATAATAAATTCAGGGTTGTTTTATAATTAAGCTACATGCCCATTCAGTGCTGAAAAAATCTGTAATGCCTTGAGTACAGTCAACTGTAACTGGAAACCACTGACACATAGTGCTGAACATGTCTTTGTCGATTTTGATTTTAAGGAAAATGTGATCCACTGTTTCAACCACTTCTCTGTGACTGTTGTGTCACCACTCTATGTATGGTGTTGAAAAGACAAGTCCTCTCAACATCGTTCTCCATGGTTTATTCTCTTTTCTAATTCTGTATTGCTTGTCTATATGTGATTATACTAGAAGGAATTGTAAACAGTAATATGGATCCTCTGAATTCAAATACTGCAGGCATGATCTACAGGTGTGTAGTGGTCTTACTTCAAAATGTTTCTCTATCTCCTTCCCATGAGTTGATTTCCAAATGACATCATAGAATATCAGCTGCATTTTTGGGCTGACTGTTGTTCAGTACATTTTCTGCCCTGTCCTATCTGTGGCTACAATTATGAGGTATGAGGCAAGTGCAAACCTGCTTTTGTCGTCTGTGGTCTCAGAGCTGAACTGTGGTATCAGTTGCATATCTTTGCAGCACTGGCACTGTATGCAATTGTAAGGGTAAGCTGGCTTCCTATCCAGGAGTCCCCCTTACTGCTATAAGAAATTCTGGTATAAATTTTAGCACTGGTCATTGTTCAGTGACAGCTGAAAAAAGTGTTTGATGTTTTGCATGGCCATTCTCTTCTCCCAATTACTTTTCCCAAACAATGCTGACCTAATTCTTATTTTAATTATTTATTCTGACAACTCCCTTATCATGTAGGCCCTTTTTTAGATTCTACTATGTAAAGAAACATGAAAATCAATGGCTTTTCAGCACTGAGTAACAGTGTATGATACCTTTCACAGATCCAACATCAACAGGCAGTTTGAAATGAAGTTGTGACTCTGTATTTCAGTTGAAAGATAGCATTTAGAAGGTTTCAGATATATTTAGATCATCTTACTCTGCTTGTTGATTAGTGTAACCAGGGTGATCTTTTTGTAGGATGACAGCTGCACCCAGCTATCCACTGTAATCATGAATAAACCATTCCAATACTCTTTACAGTCAATACTGTAAAAGCCGAGAGAAGTTTTACAAGGATGTTCCTGAAATATTTTGCAGGAGATGGAGTTCTGAATGATATAAAAAGAATACTTGGATACTGGAAACCTAATGTGCAACTAAAGCTGTGCCATTCACAGCTGCATTCCATGAAGCCTGCTGAGCAGGGTGTGTGTCGTAGAACACACAAAGAATATTTGGGACAACATAACACAACCTTGAGTACTGCAAGATATGGGGAACTCTTGCCATCCATGCAGAAATGCACTTAAATAAGGTTTACTGTAAAATGTTCCTGGTTTACTTGAAAAACATAAGTGCAGGAAACACATATTATTACAACTGGTAATAACTTGTGATTCAAGTTATTGCTAGGAACCAAAGGAATCTATTTAATCAATTCTTTCACTAATCTTAAATATAGAAACAAATATTTTGACACCACAAGTGTGGAACATGGACAGATAGAATATAGACAAAGATTTTCTTCCACTAACAAAGGCACTAGCAGAACAGTAGTTAAACCTCTATGTCCCTCTCTTTTCTTCAGTCTGCTGTATGCATGTGCTCACTAGCTAGGAATAATTTCAGATAAATAGAATTTATTCACTTTTAATTTGATTCATTTGTTGGTAATCTCTTTCTCAGCATCCAGCATAAAACAATTACAGAACATTGCTTTTTCATTTATCAGTCTACTGGTTAGATTCACAGTAGCTCCATTTAACTATTTTTCTTACAGAATTTTACTAATTCTCTGTCAATATTACACAGACAAAATACATAGTGTGAATTTGGGCTTGCATATCGTGCACA